AGTTAATGCAAGGTTAACCATCGGATAACAACTAGACTTTTCGAGTATGCGCTTCTATATTTCTTTTATTTTCACACATCAGCATAAAACAAAGCGATTCTCTGAAACAAATGATAAAGTAATTAACTAATACATTCATTTCTGATATAAACTTAACAAATAAATAATAGAATAGAATAATCAAATAATTATTCCTTTGACGAAGAATCTTAATAAACACAAGTACAGTTAAATCCATAAAATAAATAGTCATAAAAAATGATTTAAATTAATAAATACTTCATTAGAAAATTCTTTTTATCCGTAAACAAATAAATAAATAAATCAAAATAATTTAAGCAGCTATCATACCAACTATAATGTCTTTCACATCGAAACCTTTAAAATACAGTTTCAACTTTAACGTTTAACGCCGCCCGCTACATATAACGGAAGTTTACCTTTTAAATTCATGACAAACAATTACGTCAAAGTGACTCGCTAAACTGTTCAGCGCGTAACGTTGAAAACAATTGGCGCCAAAAACGTTTAACGTAAGAAATATATTTGAGCCGCGTCACGACAAAACCAACATAATGGGTTTGCGACCAGCATGGATCCAGACCAGCCTGCGCATCCGCGCAGTCTGATCAGGATCCATGCTGTTCGCTTACAAACCCTATAACAAGTAGAGAAACTGATAACGAACAGCATGGATACTGATCAGATTGCGCGGATGCGCAGGCTGGTCTGGATCCATGCCGGTCGCAAACCCATTATGTTGGTTTTGTCATGACACGGCTCATTTTAATTAGAATCGGAAATAAACGATTCTTACACGATTCATCATGTTAGAGGGGAATATCAAAATATGCATAGAGTGCAGACTATGATCAGGAAACTGATTTTTTCGTCTGCACTAGTTGCATCTTTAGAATCATTGGTGCTAAAGATAAATGTAGCAGACAAATAAAAATAACAACCTTTTTCAAGCAAGCTCTCTATATGTTTATTTTACAAGAGTAGCACTTAGTTTTAACATTTAATGATTACATTTTCACCAAATTGAATACAGTCCTTACTTAAACGGATGAAATTTCTGAGGGCAATACAATAAACAGACAGCGCTGAATAGTTGGATAAATGTTTAACAAGTACAAAGTTAACGCATAACCAGAAATTTCTCCACGTCACTTCCAAGTCATAATTCTTAGGTATCAAGTGAAATAAATAAAACGTTTCATGGTTTTCTTTAGCAATGTCTGCCAAAGATCACATTTTCCGTATTTATGAAGGAATATGTAAGTGGTGGCCTAAAATGATTGATGTATGTGCCTAAAAGAAAAATTAAAAATTTTAATGAATCATCTTTAGTGTCATAAATGTTCCACTATTTTAGATACAATGTAGATTACTTTTTCATTTTTAACAAGCTAAGTTGGAGCAACATCTCTAATTTACAACTGCAATCTTTGTCTTCCGTTATAGCGCTAACCTCATATTAATTAACGCTCAAAGAACTTCGGGAGCCAAACATGAGCGTTATAACGGGGTTGCAATGTATTCAACGAAAATAGCCATGTTCCCAACATATATTGTTCTTCTTCGTGTATTACATTACAATATACAATGTATTATATGTATATCATTAAAAAAACAAAATCTTCATCCAATTTAAAAACTTTTATTTTACAAGAATAGAAAAAAACAACATATTACTAGTGATAAAAGTGCTTAACTATATACATGTAATTATCAGCATTTCTTTAACAGTTTGGAAGACTTGAAAAAAATACGCAGTTTAAAACAATGAGCTTTTGCAATTCAGGGCTTAAAGATCCTGTATGTTGTAATTGAGGTTGTTACCACACTTGAGTGAAATTTTATATACAGTATGTATATAATTATGATTAAAACAATTTTCAAGCTTTGAAGAATATGTACAAATATGTACTGCAAATATTTGAGCACATTATATGTTATCATTTAAATATATGCATTCATTTCTTATTGAACAATTTTACCGAGACTTTATAAAAAAAAATCTAATTACCTCCCTTTATTTACATGAAATGCAAATTCGGTAATATCTTCATAAATAATGCTTTTTGGAACTTACAATATTGATAAATCTTAATTTGAGCATCATATTTATTATTTTTAACCAATATAAAATTGTGTTACAGGATCTTTAAAACAAAATCCTTTTTACTCATACAACCTTTTAATAATATTTCAAACCAATAACCTAATAATTACATATAAATAAAATAACAAATATGAAAGGCTTGTACACAAAGAAAAAATCCTGTACCATATCATTAAGGTGAATTGGTCTACAATGGGCACACTTTCCATAAGTATTTCAAAACTTGTTAAAACTAGTACAAATTTTATCAAATTGGATATTTATATAGAAATATTACTTGAAAAATAAATGTTGATAAAGTTATAGTTGTAGAATGATCATTTATATGATGAATAATAAATGTTTTGTCATTGAACAATTCATTATCTGCTTTATAAATGTATGTAATATTGGATCATGTATCTCACACTTGCCATCTACATCCATATATAATTCGTTCATGGTTTGTTGAAATTTCTAATACTAAAATGTTATCAATGTAATTATTCCTTATATTTCAGACCTTTCGTTATAGACAAAGTATAAAGTATCAAAATTTGCCATTTTTTCAATGTCAAAACATTCACGCAGACATTTAAAACCTACTTAAAGTACACTGAAGCTATGTCAAATGTCAAAACTTCACCAAAATAAAACAATAAATTCGTTGGATGGTCCACGACAAAGTGGCCCATAAGAGTTGGGACAATGTGTACATGAGAAAGGTTTAAAGTGAAGAACAGTTAAAATGATCAGCAAATTAGACAAGAGTTATGGCACACAGCAAATCCTCTCAATGTATATGACTGTTAAGATTTCTTTCAATAAAAGCCTTTGTGAAGCTTTTGAGTTGTGATATAAACAAAAGATGAAAAATAAAAAAGCAAGCCGAGGGTATTTTATGGATAAAAGATTGAAACTCAAAGGCAGCCCAAGGGCATTACTCTGAAGAAGAAAAAATCAATGGATACCAAGAGCATGTTACTATATGCACATTTCCTCCTGGTGAGACATTTGATGAATTCCATGCAGTTGCAAAGAAATAGTTGACAAAGGTTTTTACCTAAAAAGGCACTTAAAAGGCTGGCTGGAGCATGCTGCTTATCTTGGTCAAAAAGGCCTTCTATGATGTTTCTTTGAATTCTAGTCTAAAGCTGTTGAGAAATAGTCTACATAAAATTTCAATTAGATAGCTGAGGGCTGAGTACTGAGAAGACAGACAGACAGACAAACAAACAAAGTGGCTGCAATCATATTATGCATCTCTGATGAGGGGGCACATAAAAACAGGTATTAGAACATAAATAACAAGAGAGAGTGCAATAGGGGCCATGCTCATTTTATTCCTATTTAAATAAGGCAGAGACATAAGAGGAAGCACATTTTGGTGAATGACAATGGAACCTTCTTGTACAACAAATCAATAATAAAAAGGACTTAAAATAATATTTGTGATTCAAGTTAATAATAAAATTATCTTGTAAACAAATGACAAAATGACAACTTAAACATAATTCAATAAAATGACCTTGACTTTAAGAACATTTAAGGTCAGGTTATAATTCAATTATTCAACAAGTCTGTTTTGTCATCCATATTATAATTCAAGTGCATGGAAAAATAAAGTTAAGGCCAATTTTAGAAAAGTTTGATACCTTGACCTTGACATTCAAGGTCACTATGAGGACAATGTCATACTTGGATAATTCAATGTGTTGGTTTTCTCACAAGTACTGTTTTGTGCATTCATGAATCAAATTTGCAAATAAATGACAAAAGCAAAATTCAATTGGCCATGTTCATATTAAGGTCAAGGTCATTTTTTAAACAAAATCCATAATTGGAGGTCAAGGTCAGGTCCAGTAAACATTCTTAAGATACATCCAAACTAACAAAGATAAAGCCTATTTAAGGTAAAGGTCATTTATCAAGGTCAACTTCTGTCTGATCTGCTTCAAGGTAATGTAATAATCTTTGTTCGGTTCAAGTATAAAGACAATCCTTTAAATAACTATCAATAAAAAAAAGTTTTCAAAGGTATCAGCACCATGACTGTAGCAATTATCTCTATCCGAACCCACAGCGGTGATGGGCAAATGGTTAGAAGCCAACAATCTTAACACTAGGTGGCTTCAAACTACTGCTAATCAAAATGATGTTAAACCTGACTTAAACAACACGGTGGCTTAGTGAATAAGGTGTCTGCCTCTCAACCCAGAGATCAAGGGTTCGAGCCCTACTTGGGTCCCAACCATGTTTCTTCATATGACTCCAGTACTGGTTGGTTCCAGGAAGCAGACTCGAAAGTGATTAATATACATGTAGGTTGCAAGAACTTGTTTCGCAATTGAGCTTAGATAAATATGTTTAAACCAAACAACAACAAAATATCTAAATGAGAAATTATTCAAGAGTAAATGTATAACCGATAACATTGCCAATGGTGAATGTTCAATAATTCTTAAAAAATCAGAAAAATTCCGGCACTTAGCCATGTTGTTTAAAGATTTGTGTAGAAAAGGACGGCTCTTGGTAGTTTCAAATTCCTTCAGTAATGACTTATCCAGAAAATGTTCTTGCACACAATGCATTCAATTACAGAGTAAATACCATTCGAATGTGCACAAAATAAATAAAGTTTATCTTATTAGAATACATATTAATTAAAGCCTACAGCAAAGATTATATCATAAATTCACAATTAATGCACCATAATGATATCATTAAGGTACTTTATGTATATATGATATATAAAACAAATAATGGGAGAGAATAACCGTTCATACAGTGCTAACCTATAAATACCTTATGTTTATGAAAGGCATTTTGTTGATGTTAATATTTTCAAAAAACATAATATATAAAACATATATTTTTTTTTTTTTTGGGGGGGGGGGGGGGGTACTTTTATTGGAAGAAAATGAACAAAGATAAAATATAAATGATTCTTATTTAAAAGTATGATGAAAATACAGTGCACTGAAAAATACAGGCAAACTTATTATTAAACGCATTAAGCAACTGCACAAGGGAAATACTAAAAAAAGTCGCTTATTACAATGGTCTCTTACAACAAAGAATGAGAAAAATTCAAAATTTATTATAATTATTTGGCAAATAGATGGTACTGTGAAGGATACCTGAGTGTAGAGCCACCTATCTTAAATAGGCTAGCCAGATAGTGTCCTCACATGAAAGGAACCATGTCATTGGCGGGACCATTTACAAGGCTTTTAACACAAAAGACAATTAGCACAAATATGGCATTTAATAACACAAGCTATTTAAAGGAAAATGTGGACCCTAAAAATTTGTACCTGAGGAAAAAGAAAAGATTTTCACAATAATAAGGATCTTTACTAGAGAGTCAAACAATTTTTTGTGAAAATATGGAACAAAACTGACAATAACTGAGTGTTTTTTATTACATTACAGAAGCAATGTCATTGCTCTTTAACAGGTTAAGATCACTTCACAACGATAAATATTTTGATGTGACACACTTCTTGAAGATAATTTGCTGCACGGCTGACTAAATGTCTAAAATTGGTTATTTCTTTTACAGCCTCCAGATTCATTCTAATTTTCATAAATACTTTTCTAATGTATAACAATGAAAAAAATTGTCAAGTGAACAAAGAAAGTCATTTACATATTGCAAATGGCACTAACACAACCTACATAAATTACTAAAAAGAGGTAAAATATCCAAAAATATCCCTTATTGTGTTAGTAAAATGTTAAAATATGGTGACAAAGATAGACCAAACACTGCAAAATCAGTCATTAATCGCACATAACATGTAAATTATTACTCAAATCTTTTCCTTAAATCTTAGTATTTAGCCTAGTTTGATTTGAACACAACAACATCATAATTCTAGCAAATTCATACCACGGCAAAATGTAGCACAAAATTTTATTTACTTACTACCTTTTAAAGGTTTAAAACTTTACATTTCAATACTCCATAACAAAACATAACAACAAAAGACACTCAAATCTAGAAAATGAAACATATTAACTACTACTTAAAACACTAAGGAACACAAAATTTTACAAATTTAGGAACTATATTATGCTATGATATGTACAATTTGTAGGTGAGCATGGTATGGTCTCAATCAAATCCCTGCCAGTCGGTGACATCAGAGTCATTATCATCGTCTACTTGTAAACATCTGATACCATTCCTGAGAGAGGGCGTGCCTTTACCTTTACCTGAAAAAAAAATGCAATTTATGTTTTTTAAAAATCCCCAAAGTAAGTCTGTGGCATTAATTAATTATGTGACAGTAAGTAATTTGAATGCATAATATACTTTAATTCTTTTGTTTCCTCTTATGCTTTATTCATTTACCGATGTTACAAAGCCATTTTGTCATTCATACCTAAGTTAATTTGTTATGGCTTCATCAATTGGTCATATTCATAGTATTATTAATTTATCAATTTGTATGGCATTATTTTTACATTATAGCATTTTTCGACTGACAAATATAATGTATACTGTGACAACTCTAGCCTAATAATCTAATAGGTCAAAACATGGCCCAAGTACACAAGAAAATATTATGTAAACCAACTCTGAATTCTGCCTTTAGTTACTAATTTTTGCCTTTAGCTCCTAGAGATTCGCAAAACAGTTAGAAACTTGTTTCACATGATATAAGATGGTTCAACAATGTTGTCAATGCAGAAGAGGAATGGGGAAACACAAACAGATTGCTGTGGATAAACGAGATCTAAATTTCTCTGGAGGCAGAATAAAAGAGAAATCAAAACAGCTTTAGAGACAGAATAACATAGAAAAGACATAAATTACTGTGTGGGAGCAGAAAAAAAGAGAGAAAAGATCAGAACTGCTCTGGTGGCAGAAAAAAAACCAGAAAAGATCAAAATTGCTGTGGAGGAAGAATAAAAAGAGAGATAAGATCAAATTGCTATGGAGTCAGAGTAAAAGAGAAAAGACAAATTGCTGTGTGGTGGCAGAAATAATGGAGAAAAGATTAAAACTGCTCTCGAGGCTGAAGAAAAGGGAGAAACATTATCAAACTTCCCATCAAGGCTCAAGGAAAAAGAAGATCAAAATTGCTGTTGAAGCAAAAAAACAAAAACAAGAGGGCCATGATGGCCCTGAGCTCGCTCACCAGTATATAGCCCCCCCCCCCCCCCCAACGTTGCAGGGCCAATTTAACCCAAGGGCTTTTATTTGCACAAACTTGGTAGACACCCATAAGAAAGATGTTTCATGCTAAACATCTAAGCTCTAGCTCATTGGGCTTTTTAAAAGAAGATTTTTTTAAGTTTTTACTATACACATATAGTTAAAAACAATGACACCCCTGGGGCCGGGCCAGGGCTTTTATTTGAACAAACTTTGTAGACACTTACTAGAAGATGTTCATGCTTAATATCTTAACTCTAGCTATTTGGGTTTTTTCAAAGAAGATTTTAAGTTTTTGCTATACACATATAAAGAAAATCAATGACCCCCGGGGCGGGGCCAATTTTGACCCCAGGTCTTTTATTTGAACAAACTTTGTAGACACTCACTAAAAGATGTTTCATGCTTAATATCTTAACTCTAGCTATTTGGGTTTTTTCAAAGAAGATTTTTTAAGTTTTTGCTATACACATATAAGGAAAATCAATGACCCCCGGGGTGGTGCCAATTTTGACCCCAGGGCTTTTATTTGAACAAACTTCATCTTGGTAGACACCTATTAGAACATGTTTGATGCTAAATATCTTAGCCATAGCTCTTTGAGTTCTTTAAAAGAAGATTTTTTAAGTTTTTACTATATGCATATAGGGAAAATCAATGACCCCCCGGGGCGAGGCCAATTTTGACCCCAGGGCTTTTATTTGAACAAACTTGGTAGACACTTATTAGAACATGTTTCTGCTAAATATCTTAGCTCTAACTCTTTTGGTTCTTTAAAAGAAGATTTTTTAAGTTTTTACTATATGCATATAGGGAAAATCAATGACCCCCTGGGGCGGGGCCAATTTTGACCCCAGGGCTTTTTTTGAACAAACTTGGAAGACACCTATTAGAACATGTTTGATGCTCAATATCTTAGCCATAGCTCTTTGAGTTCTTTAAAAGAAGATTTTTTAAGTTTTTACTATATGCATATAGGGAAAATCAATGACCCCCCGGGGCGGGGCCAATTTTGACCCAAGGGCTTTAATTTGAACAAACTTGGTAGACACCCATTAGAACATATTTCATGCTAAATATCTTAGCTCTAGCTCTTTGGGTTCTTTAAGAGAAGATTTTTTAAGTTTTTACTATATGCATATAGGGAAAATCAATGACCCCCCGGGGCGGGGCCAATTTTGACCCAAGGGCTTTAATTTGAACAAACTTGGTAGACACTCACTAGAAGATGTTTCATGCCAAATATCTAAGCTCTAGCTCTTATGGTTTTTTAAAAGAAGATATTTAAAGTTTTTTCTTTTGGTTGCCATGGCAACCAGAGTTCTGCATGGAATTAAATTCTTTGAACAATTTTTAAAGGTGACCACCAAAGGAACATTCCTGTGAAGTTTGGATGAAATTGGCTTAGTGGTTTATGAGGAGATGTCATTTAAAGTAAAAGTTTACGGACGGACGACAGACGGACGGACGAAAAGCGATCACAAAAGCTCACCCTGTCACTTTGTGACAGGTGAGCTAAAAAGAACTAAATGTAACTATATTAGGCAGTAAAAATTAAAGCAAGTAGAACAGTATTACCTAAAACTCTTGCATGGAAAACAATATCTGCGTATCTATCAGCATAATTTTCTGACTTTATTGTTATTCTTTCTTGTATCAATTTTTCTCTGTGAGCATGGAATTCCATTTCAAGTATATGTCCACAACCTGCAAGTTATAAAATATAGGTATATATGTAAATATTACTGTTTTGAACATCTCAAAATAACCAAAATGAACATTGTAATAAATGAAATAGCAGATCAAATTTAATATAATCTTTGATAATTCATTTTGTAATTATTATTTTACAACTTGAATAAAACAGACAGTTGAATTACCCAAGACTTCTTTGTTTAGAAGATATTATCTAGCACGAGAAAGCTCTGGCTCAGATTTTGTAATATTTGTTGCACTTAAAGTGCATCTAACAAACTGTGTATAAGTAACCCTGCAACAAAGGTATAGGAAAATTACATTCTTGCTTGTTTCGACCATATTTTTCCACAGATTTCATGTAACTTTTGCACAAAAACTCTAAGGCCATTAGGATCAAGTTGTATACAGTAAATTCACTTTCAATAATTGAAAGGTTGTTTATGGTAAATTGAAAGGTTGTATTATATTATGGTTATTTGGAATTAAATACTACATTGTCTACTTTTATAGATTGAGATCTAACTTGGATGGGTTTTTTTTCTATATGAAGGTTTTGTGTCAATTATTACAGAAACAGCTGTTGTAAATGTACAATTTAACAAAATTTAGCTTTGAAAATATATTACCATCTTCTGTTGGTTCATATCTCAATAGTTTAGCATGGAGATTCTGTAAAGGGTCAAAGGTTATGTCCTCCCCTAGATTATCCTGTATGGTAAAGATCACTTCATAATGTCTGTTAATTTGTAAAAATCCTAGGTGGACATCGATTCTCTCTGCTGTATATTTCAAAGCTATGTCTGAATCATGTGCTTGAACCTGTACAGCTTCAAAATGTACTTTGTGCTCACTTGAGGCACCACAAACTGAAAATTATACAAAACAATATATATAACATTTCTACAACATAATGTTATCTATATAAATCTCTGGATACTAACTGCCAACCAGTCTCTCAAAAGTGTAATAGCTAGGAATTGAATTATGGAAAATGTTAGTAAATCAGGGTTGTCATTAACATTTTTTGCAGAAGGTTTGTTTTGAACTTGAGGCGGTCATTTCTGTCTTTATCATGCATAACAAAGAGTGTTTACTTAATTTTGAGGCGGCCCATAATGCATTTGAGACAGGCATTTTGGCCTCCTGCCGCCTCTTAATGACAACCCTGCAGTAAATGGTGCGAGAAAAAAAAATAAAACCTAAAAAATGAACATTACCACAAATTAATAGTGAGAGGTTTTCAAGTCACTGTTAAAAAGCTTATTGCAAGTAGTAACTTGAGTAAAAGTTAGTCATTGTTAAAATGTTTATTAGAAAGAGTTCATGTATCTTATATTTAATAATGCAGTTACAATGTCAAAAGTGAACTACATGTATATGTAAAATTGATTGGAAAATAATCCCCACCCTAGTCCCTATTTAATCATCTAAAACTTTAAAAGTATCAATATCTATCTATTTACCAATCCCAACCCTAGTCCGTATTTAATATCTAAAACTTATAAAACTGGTACAAATTATTCTAACAATTTTTGTTTGTTTTCATAATTTCTATCATCTTCTTCCATTTTGAATGTTGCCCGTGTATGTTCCATGCGTAAACCCTAGAGAACTTAATCTATCAGTATTCAGTAACTGTCAGTTGATTGGCTAAATGAATAATAATAATCCGGATAATAAAGCCTATAGTGGAGCCGAATAGCATTTTTTCATCAGCCAATGGAAATACTCAAAACATACATTTGTAAATGCACCTGCATTATAATGGGCAACAATTTGACAGCCAAAGTAAATATTGAAATGTTAGTTATTTCCTGCAATGTTACAGGTTATAATGAAGAGTTTGTAGTAGAACTTGGGTAATGAGCAGTTCATATATTACCTTCTACAATTACTTTGATTGAATAGAGGATATTTTTGTATAGTTCAATCTGTGAATGCCTTTTACGAACCCATGCTGATGACAAGAGCTATGACTTGTATCCCTAGTTTATTATATATAGAGAGAGATTTAATAAAGGAAGGACAGATTTCCCTGTGAATAAGAGTAGTTATAGGGAGAAACAGTCTACAGATATTGACTATATCATGATATATGCTGATATGCTGGAAAATGGGGGGGGGGGGGTAGCAGAGGGACTGGTAAAGGGGAGAATTATGTTTTAACTAACCCAGTAGGCTTTATAACAAACTTTCAATTCAATTCAAATAACTTGTATTTGCTTGTTAAACACACCCTTGTTTTATAATAAAAGGAAATAATATTTTCTATTAGTTCTGCTCTCAAAGAAAGTTACTCGACATTAGGACATATTGTCCGAGGAGATATTTACCATATCACAGCAATGTTTAACTGAAAAATTTAAGAAAAATACACAAAACAATAACTATTTTTACCATCTCCTGTATTGTTCATAATTTCCTTGTCCATAAGAAATTATATCATGTTCTTTTAACTTTGTGATTTGATAAAGATTGTCAAAATACACAGATATCTCTTCAGTCGCTCACTTTTTTTCAAAGGGACTTAACTCAGTTTGTTTACATTTTAAGGATGTTTATAATCCATAAATAAAAATATTGATACTTAGTTTTAAAAGGCATTTTTTAAACAATATTATAAATATTTACACTATTTTTATCATAAATGGATGACACATAGTATTATTTTTAAATGTTGTGTTTAAATATAAAATTGTGTTAAATATTATTTATGCATTGTAAAAGTCACTTATTTGCATGTTGTCAAACCCTTGCAAAATCTGCTTCCTGGATCAAGTCATATTTTGTATTGTTTCTGTGCCTTGTCACCTTAAACCTTCATGTCTGTACAGGTGAATGAAGTAAACCAACTATGAGATTGTCACCGAAGATAATAACAGGTGTTTTGTCTGCACAAAATAAAGGGGCCTGTGACTGGTAGGTTTCTAATTTTAATTCATACATGTTTAGATCTGGTGGCAGGTTATTTGTGCAATTGTCAGACTGGTGCATTTTAAGTACTTACTTAAGTGTATATTTCTTCTTCCTATAATGTGAAACCAATTTGAAGTGACATCAACCAGCTGGAAGCTGTCCAAAGGCGAGCTGCCCGATTTGTAAAAGGCGATTACAAAACTACCAGCAGCACCACTGCAATGATGACAGACCGAAGATGGCCAACTCTACAGCATCGCTGCTCTAATGCAAAGCTAGTGATGGTCTACAGGATCACGCACAACCTCATAGCCATCCCAGCTGCACAGTACTTCCACCCCCTGACACTTGGTGGCCATGGCTACGGACACAGATTCCATGTCCCATCTGCAGACACCATGAAGTTCTCCTTTGTACCTTCGGCCATCCGCCTGTGGAACCAGCTTCCAGAGCACCTAGCCACAGCAGTCAACCTTGAGGCCTTCAAGAGAGGACTAGTCATGAGGCTTAACATGTTCTTCTTTTAAATCTGCACTTATTAGACATAGACAGATGTGAAAAGGTAGTGCCAAGTTTCAGACAGAGGATTCCATAGCGCAAGGGCCTAGCTCTTATCAGCATAAATACATTTTATATATGCTGGTCACCATTCATCTACAACTATGTAATATCAGTTTGTAAAATCGTTTGGTCTTGCAGTCCTAATATTGAGAGACTTAATTTAGTGATTCCAATGTCTCAGTTGGTGAGTGAGTGATAGCCAAGTAGGCAATGAATCAAATCTAATGGTCATTCAAATAGAAAATCTGTTCTGAATGGATTGATGAATCTTAAAGTGAATCCTACCTCATTTGTAGTGGAATTTAAATATACAAACTGTGGATTACCAGGCTGGTGCTCTACCCATCACCAACATAATATTCCGCTTCAGGCCTTGCCATTCATTAATAACATGAATTCAATCCTATAAAGTTGTGTTTTAAAGAATAGATATGTCCTTTTTTTAAAAATAATTGTGATTTTGTGCCATATATGTTAAGGAATAGTTGCACAATCAGAGCTGAACATGACAAGTTAAGCTTTAAATTGTAATTATTTAATTAATATGACATTTATTTTATAGGGGCTGGCAAGGTTTAGTGGCCTATGGATGTAACAACAGTGTGGTAGTTGTTGATCCACAGACAGTTCAGGTAATGTAGTCAGATACTGTATTGTTTTCTTTTATACACCCCCCCCCCCACACACACACACATTTTGTAGAAGAAAAACAATTTTACCTTATAGATTTATAAGTGTTGGTGTGCTGTAAAAACAAACAAATAATAAACAAATAAAAACCCTTTATTTATTTAAAGTTGAGTTCTGTTGAGAACTAGAGGTAGGAATAGGGATGATTCTCTTGATGATGTATAAAATATAAACACACAAATTAAAAGAATTGAAAATTTACTTCATGTATTTGATACTAATTACAATATATTTACAAATGATCTTTTCAGACATTGCAAGTACTTGATAAACACAGATCTACAGTTGTTAAGGTTGGTAATAAGATTATATTTTTTAACAATAACTGATTTTGAATTTGAGAACCAGTGAAAATGGAAAAAGTTTCAAAATACAAATGTTTGAAATGTGTATTTTTTTCCAACTTTGGAATAATATTAGATTTTACCCTTATATTTAAATGAGCTTATTTTTAAGATGTACATTTAAAGTAAAGTAATCATGATGTTAAAAATTGACAGGTATACATTATGACATTGTAAGATCTTGCATTAAATTTTCTTTTTTTAAATGTTGAGATTTTACTTTCTGCTATGTGATTATTGTATGCAAGATGATGATTATTATGATTTAGGTGAAATGGGCACGGGAGAACTATAGTCATGATGTTGGCAGTCCATACAGTTTGCGACTGGCCTCTGGAGACAGTACGGGAAACATCGTTATCTGGGATGTGGCTCTCGGCGAGTCTAAGGCAGATTTCTCAGATGGGAATAGACCTATACAAGGTGATAACATTATGATAGACATAATTAAATACATGTACATTGTATTAATTAAAGGCACATTAAGCATCAGAAATAATTAAAACAATTCTTAATGTAGAAAAGGAAAAAAAGTGTTTTAAAATGCTGTAATAATGGATTTAGAATATGTGACATGCTTATATCAACTGAGGAAAAATAGGGTTGAATATGAACTAATTTGCGATAAAGGTTGCAAAAGATAAACAAGATGGTATAATGACTTCCAATCTACCATACAAAATACTAAATCACTATAACTGTAGTAATTTTGCCCAAAAAAAGAAGCAAAACATGTCTCAGCTATATGCTCAATGAGTAATATTTTGAACATTGTAACAGGACACCATGAATAATAAGCTTTCAAAAATAGAATAGAAAATAAAATAGAAGCATTTTTAGACGGAATGGGCCTTTAACTATGTAAAAGTCAGCAGGTTCATTGTATGTCAAATGTGCATCTTGCCAGTTCAAATTGGTTGATGGCATATCAGGGCTTCCACTAGGAATTTTTTTTAGGAAGTCAGGACTTCCTTTCAAGGAATTTTGGAAGTCATGAGGTAAATTTCTGGAAGTCAGTTGTTCTTACGCGTATAATTTTCATGTTTCAATGTTTGATTTATAGTATGGGATGGTACAAGTAAAAGCAATTATTTTAATCACAAGATTCTGAAAATGTCATTCCTTTTTATGTTTTAAGTTCAAAGTATCTTTACATGATTGTTGGGTAAATATTTTCAATGGAAGTAAGAACATTACCCTGAAAAGGACTGTATTGTTGTTATTTAAGGACAGTGGTAGCCATGTAGAACCCTTCAGTGATAACATTCAAATAATTGCTCATTGGTATAACAAAAAAAAAATATTTCTAGAAAACTTTTAATTCTTTAATCAATCATGGTACAAGTAGATTCTGAAATGTGTATGATGGGTTCTTCTTTTTCTACCTCTGGATCTGTACCATACAGCTGTTGTCTCATGTGATCAGCCTGCACAGCATTTATTCATTGTGTTTTAAAAGAGTGGATCTCTGTAGATTTCCTGAAATAAAAAAAAACATGACATCCTTTAGCATTGCTATAATTCTTATTTGTAAAATAAAAATTGTTGTTTAAATATCTCTTGTGTTTAAAATTATTTACTACAGTACCGAACACAATTTCAGTGTATCAAATGAATCTTAACACAATAACAACCCAAACTGGTTAAATTTAATCAGGTTTAATCAGGCTTGTAAATTGAAAGTTTTATAAAAATAATAAAAAAAGAAAAAAAATAGCTGAATGTACGCGTGTGGTTGTTCTTTTTGGATTCATATGAAAATAATTTCGAACACCGTTCTTGACCAAATTATTTTTTTTAATTACGTTTTTGAGATACGCCAAATTTTTTTGAGAGTGGGTTGGGAAAAACATTTTTAAATGTAACTTTGCTTCTCATAATTAGCGAGTGAAAAAAATATAAAATCAAATCAACATCTATAGAATGTGTGAAAATAAAACGTCTTTAACTTCAAAAAGGAAAAAAAAATAATCAAAAGACAAAAACACGCTTCGCCGACTCGGCAAACTTTCGGATACATTCAAACTACCGATGCACACAATAATGAATAAATCATTTTTAGCTCGACTTTTCTATGAAAAGGGGAGCTATCCTACTCGCCCCGGCGTCGGCGTCGGCGTTAGCGTTGGCGTCACACCTTGGTTAAGTTTTTCGTACCACCCCACTTTATTTCAGAAGTATTACAAGTATGGCTTTGAAACTTACCATACTTGTTCACCATCATAACCTCCATCTACAGACAAGAGTACATAACTCTGTCAAGGTTTTTGACAGAATTATGGCCCTTTTTTGACTTAGAAAGTGTATTGAGCTTGGTTAAGTTTTTTGTACCACCTCACTTTATTTCAAAACCATTGGAGGTATTGCTTTGAAACTGACCATACTTGTTTACCATCACGACCTTCATCAACAGACAAGAGGACATAACTCTGTCAAGGTTTTTGACAGAATTATGCCCCTTTTTGACTTAGAAAATACATTGAATATGGGTAAAATCCACTTATTGCCTTAACCCTTTGAGATATTGCTTTGAAACTTTTAATGCTATTTCACATCATTACCCCCATCTGTACGCAAGAGAAGGTAACTCTGTCAAGGATTTGTTTTAAAAATTAAGGCCTTTTATCGACTTAGAATCTTGGTTAAGTTTTTAGTACCAGTCCACTTTTTGACTGAACTGTTTGAGATATTAATTTGAAAGTTGGAATACTTGTTTACCATCATGGTCCCAAAACATGGGCAGGAGAAGGTAATTCTGTTAAGGATTTTATTTGAATTATGGCCCTTTTTGACTTAGAAACTCAGTTAAGATTTTCATTCTTGTCCACTTGTTGACTTAACCATTTGAGATATTACTTTGGAAGTTGGAGTTCTTATGTGCCATCATGAGACCTATCTGTAAGCAAGAGAAGATAACTCTGTGAAAATGTTTCTTGATTTGTACTTAGAAATTCCTAGTTAAAGTCTTGTGTGCCCTTAACTGTCAAAGTTTTGTTTTATAGGCAAGCACTAAAAAAGTCGAGCGCGCTGTCCTTCTGACAGCTCTTGTATCTAATTAAAGTAAAAACAGATACCTACCACAGTTTATGTCAATTAACTATCCATTATCCGTACAAAACAAACAACTACAGTAATCCAATCACTTTGTTTTCACGCTTATCAAGGTCATAAATCAACACTCGCTAATTCGTCACGCGCCAGGTGCATTCGCATAATTTCACCCATCGCTGTCATGTCAACCATTCAATTCAGGGGGCGGAGTTAAATAAATAATCCAATCGTACGCCTTGAAAGTGAGAAAAGGTCGGAAAATAGTTGTGGCGTACGTCACGGCTTACGATTTTCGCCGTATTCCTAAATTTTTGGAAGTCAGCGGTACGTCATTGATCTTAATTTTCGGCGTATGCCATATCAAAAGCTTGTAATTATTATTTTAGGCATATGCAAACCCGGAAGGTACCAGCTTGAACACTTTTCACACAATTTGACAGGATTATGCTTTCATTGTCATTAAATATTACACATTAAAAGTTGATAATATGCTTTAAATCTAATGCTTTGCATTTACTTTTTTATGAATAATAATTTGCATTTTGTATAAATCTGATGTTTTTGATGTTGTTGCAGCATTGGAATGGTTGCCATGGCAAGATGCATCACATGATTTGCTGGTTGCCCTACATCCACCGTATTCTGTTATTCTATGGAACGCTGACACGGGAACCAAACTGTGGAAAAAGTCGTACACAGAGAATCTCATTTCTCTAGCCCTTGATCCTTTCTGCTTCAGAAATATGGCATGTAAGTTACATAACCTTGATATCAATTTGTACTTAATAATCTTTACATAATTTGCCTAAAAACCTAAAACCTTCAATATTTGCTATATTGTGTCATACAAACAAGTCTATATTGTTACCCTTAAGTGGAAACCTACCTTCAATACTCTACAATGTAAGTACAAGCTCTGACAACTTTATCAGGCAATCAGTTCTTTGGTTCAGTTGACTAGAGCGCTGTTACTTGAACCTTGTAGGCGGATGATGGCAAGTTTGAATTCCAAACATGGCAGGAATTTTTCTGATGCATTTATATGTTTCTGTTACAAATATGCAGGGTTTTATTATTAACAGATTCGATATGGTTGAAATGCTGTAAAAATTGGTTGTGTTTTCAGCCTGTAGTTTAAAATATCAGCCTTGTGGTTGACCCTTGACCGAATTCGTTGTGTTCCTTAGCACATCTGTTGGATAAAACCCTGTGAAACTAAAATAATATTTGTAAGAGTGTCAAGGAAACATATGATCACCTGACATACAAAAAATGACAAACAAAAGGTAGCATAAAGAACAAGTAATTGTAGTGTCTGTCTGTCTGTCATTGTGTCTGTGTTCATACAGTTACAATGTGCGATGGTATATTTATACACAGTCATAAGTGGTTGTCAATAAACGTTAGAAGGAATTATCTGTACAAAGCTTAGTTAAATATTTTATACATTCTGTTTAGATGGTTCGCTTAAGAATCTGACATTGTTGTATATCACACAGTGTCAAACACACAATTCAGATACACAAATGACGAGGCTATGCCAAAAGAAATTTGAATTTAAAAAATAATATCCAATAAAAAGGGTTTTACAGTATTAATTTTTCACTCTACATTATGATTTAGTTAAACTTTCATGAATTCAAGGTGAGGTGGTATGCAAAGATATGTTGTAATTGACAAAATTGACACTAAATCACTTGCTCGTTACAGCTGAAGGTTTGAATCCTGTTGGTTACATTGGATTCTTTCATGTGAGGAAGCTATCCAGCTAGCTGACAGAAGGTTGGTGGTTCTATAACTCATGCCTGAAATAAGATACAATAGGATGGTGGGACATCAAAGGTCTTCTTCTACCAGTAAAGCTAGAAAGTCTATGTATGACCTTAACAGTATAACTTAAAATCAAACAAAACGATAAAAAAAACAACATTTTCATGTATATGAATAATAAATGACAAATTTATGTTTTCAGTTCTTGGTCAGGATTGTATAGTGTTCATAGATGATTTCTCTATAACAAGGACACCATCAAGTAATGGGAAAAAGTTCTATATATCTAGTCCATCTGGTGAGTATTATGTGAATATAAAGTATAAAGGGATCTGTATGATTTATGTTGATAATGATAATTGTTTTAAGAAATTCCCTGTTCAGCTCTGGTTATATCTATAGGAAGAAGTTTTGTTTTCTGTTAGTGTACCACTGCCTGCACAGTTTTTATACAAGAATAAAAGTTGTGTGTATGTAATTTAAGCTAAGAAATACAGTTGTGTATATATGAATTACATGTACGTGTAAAAATGTGCATTGTGTGTTCATGATATTTATATATATGTACATGTGTTAGAGGTGAACTATGATGCATAATGATAACTGATATGTACATGTGTTATAGGTGAAATATGAAGCATAATGATAACTGATATGTACATGTGTTATAGGTGAAATATGATGCATAATGATAAATGATATGTACATGTGTTATAGGTGAAGTATGATGCATAATGAGAAGTCTGTGTTAATGATTTATATGTACATGTGTTATAGGTGAAATATGATGCATAATGATAATTCTGTGTTCATGATTTATATGTACATGTGTTATAGGTGAAATATGATGCATAATGATAACTCTGTGTTCATGATTTATATGTATGTACATGTGCTACAGGTGAATTTAGATGCATAATGATAACTCTGTGTTCATGATTTATATGTACATGTGTTATAGGTGAAATATGATGCATTATGATAATTCTGTGTTCACGATTTATATGTACATGTGTTTTAGGTGAAATATGATGCATAATGATAACCCTGTGTTCATGATTGATATGTACATGTGTTATAGGTGAAATATGATGCATAATGATAACTCTGTGTTCATGATTGATATGTACATGTGTTATAGGTGAATTATGATGCATAATGATAACTCTGTGTTCATGATTGATATGTACATGTGTTACAGGTGAATTTAGATGCATAATGATAACTCTGTGTTCATGATTGATATGTACATGTGTTACAGGTGAATTTAGATGCATAATGATAACTCTGTGTTCATGATTGATATGTTCATGTGTTATAGGTGAATTTAGATGCATAATGATAACTCTGTGTTCATGATTGATATGTACATGTGCTACAGGTGAATTTAGATGCATAATGATAACTCTGTGTTCATGATTGATATGTACATGTGTTATAGGTGAAATATGATGCATAATGATAACTCTGTGTTCATGATTAATATGTACATGTGCTACAGGTGAATTTAGATGCATAATGATAACTCTGTGTTCATGATTGATATGTACATGTGTTATAGGTGAAATATGATGCATAATGATAACTCTGTGTTTATGATTTATATGTACATGTGTTATAGGTGAAATATGATGCATAATGATAATTCTGTGTTCATGATTTATATGTACATGTGTTATAGGTGGTACAAAGACTGATGTCCCTGGAGGAAGTCTAGAGAGGAAACAATCATCATCATCATCAAGAACGCTTGCTAAAAGAATGACCAAAATACTTGTTGGAGAGGGAAATAAGAGGTAGTATTGATATATTAAGCTGGTTCACTCAAGTTGTAAATAAGGACATTTCCGGTATTTACAATTTCATGCAAATTTGCTGACTGGCTATCTATCCAGTTGCTACATAGTCATTAGTTGACCTGAATTTCACAAAAGAACACAATGTTTGATTTTTGATACTGTTTGTGAGCAGTTATTGACCTAGTAAATAATAGAAAAGGAGGGGCTAAATTTTTGCTGCTAAAAACTGAATAGGTTCTTTAGGGAAGAAACATTTACACAAATTTAGTTTTATGGACAACAACATTTATTGCTTATTACTAAAACTTGGTATGTGTGCAACATTTAGTTGAACATGATTGATAGATGGCACTGCATGGTAGACATTTTCTATTTTGCAGTATAATAGGAAAATACTGTATCTTGAACACCATACAAAGAATGCAAAATTTGCAATGTCAGGGTAAATTGTGTTTGTTTGATTTTTACGTCAAATTTTTAACACACATTTAGTCAAAATCTCTTGTTTTGGTCCACTTAACCATCTTCCAGTCAATTTCTCTTAAAGACTTATCCAAAAAAATTTCTAAAGAGCGTTGAGAGACAAATTAAAACTAGATTCAGTGTCTGAGATCAAATGTCGCAAAGAAATTACGCCTCGTCCGAGGATTGAACTTGTGACCCCTGGATTACAGATCCGATTATCTCCTACAAATTTTAAGAAAAAGATATGTTATACTGATGATCTTGAATTTATATTGCTTATTGTTTTTACACTGTTTTACAGAGATGATGAGAATATAGCATTGAATGAATGTATACAGTTGATGTACCTGAGGTCATGTAGGCACCATTTAGTTCTAGTGTATCCCAGAGAGATTCTCATACTTGACCTGGAGATTAACCAGACGGTCGGAATTATCCCAGCAGAGAGAACTGGCTCTCCCTTCATGGAGGTACTTTTACTTCATTTACAAAGAAAATGACTTTTTCCATGACATGTTTCTTGTTAGAAGTCCCTGAACTACAAGATTGGGTCTTCAAAAGATGCTTAATTGAGCATGGTCTAGGAATCTCCCGTACTTTGTTTATTTGGTGTGGAGATTTTTACTTGGTATTTATCACAGGCTAGGATTATTTTACTATGAACAAATCAATAGAGCAGGAGTGGTGGCATAGTGGTTAATCTGCCTTTCAACCCAGTTATCGTCGGTCTGAGCCCTACTCAGGTCATGATCATTTTTTCTTTATGACACCAGTACTGGTTAGTTCCAGGAAGTGGACTGGAAAGTGATCAATATAAGTTGCAAGAACTTGTTTTGCAATTGAGCTAAAATAAATATGTTCATGTATAAACTATTTAAACTAAATCTGAAGAAAATAATAAGATCTCAAGAGAAAAAAACTGTATTTGTCATACATTGTCATAAAGCCTAAAAAATGTTATTTGGGTTTTTTGTCTGGTCCATAACTTTTTCATGCATGATAGGGTTTCAAAATAAAATGATAGACATCACCATCATAAGAAGACTGTGTCAAGTGTCCATGTTCCTATCAAAGGTCAAGGTCACAACATGATGATTCTTTTTTCCTTCAGGTGTTACCGATGCAGCAGCGTGATGTATTATATTGTCTTCATGAGAATGGTAGTATTACATGTAGAATCCGACGTAAAACCAACATGCAGACCAGTCTACCACCAGAAGGTTCTGGAGCATTTGGTATGTACAATGTAACCTCTATAGAGTGGCCCCCTCTGTAAAGCAATTACCTCTTTACAACATCAATTTCATTTTTTTTCTCAGAGTAATACTTTGCAATAGATCTAACCTCTCTAGAGCAATATCTCTGGGCAACAACCAAAATCTTCAACTACCAAAGGTTATTGCACTGCAAAGGTTGTACTGTATAAGCTTAGTACATTTTGTTAGAATTTGCTTTTTGAGTTTTACGATGTAATATTCCATTGTAATATACCAAAATACCATTGCCCCTGTTGCAGGAAAGCCGTTGTTTCCTTGAGCAAGAAACTTTACATAGATTGCTTAGTACTTGTTGGTTCCAGGAACAAATTCGAGAGTGTTTCAATAAGCCTATAGCTTCCAACACAATCAAACTAAAATAAATTTGTATAAACTTAACTAATATACCATAACTCGCATATTTAAGACAAAGAAAAAATATTTTTGTACGTGTACTATGATGCAAATGAAGTCAATGCTGATAGGCCATTACTATTCTCCTACATACCAAAATATGTTTGTTGTGTATTAGGGAAGGTCTCCTTGATAAAATCATGCAGTTTTATGTCTACGTTCACATACTGCCCTTTTAGCTCAATGGGGAGAGCATTGATTTGTAATCCTGGGGCTGTTGTTCCATTCCTCAGGCAAGATGAAATTTCTGATTTCTGTATGACAATTGATATTAACATTGAGTCTGGGGGAATAATTGGTCTCTCCTTGCTGTTTCAGAAATCATGCGGGATAAGTAGTGATGTCAATTAATTGTCCCAAATACTGGTCAGTTATCAAGGAAAGCTGGTTAGGTGGACTCTCTGTCAAGATATGACCAATAATTTGAGCCGCGTCACGACAAAACCAACATAATGGGTTTGCGACCAGCATGGATCCAGACCAGCCTGCGCATCTGGGTAGTCTGATCAGGATCCATGCTGTTCACTTACAAACCCTATAACAAGTAGAGAAACTGATAGCGAACAGCATGGATCCTGATCAGACTGTGCGGATGCGCAGGCTGGTCTGGAGGCATGCTGGTCGCAAGCGCATTACGTTGGTTTTGTCGTGATGCAAAAATGTCTACTTTCACAAAACTAAGTAACAATATAAGCAGCTTATTTAAAGCCTTTTAAAACATTATTTGTTGAAAATAGTTATGAAATATATAACATTGTCAAGAAATCTTAAAATCTTTAGAATGTTTCTTCTATTTTCAGATGACTTAACACAGGGTCCTTCATTAGATGTAACATATGATCTTCGCTGTCAGTCAGACTCTATACGTATGACACGACATTGCAGGGTCGCAGGTGTCATGTACTCTCCTGTCAGTGAGGCAAAATTAGCCCTCGTACTGTCAGATAGCAGGCTGATATTCTGGGATCTACACACAATTGATTTCCAGGTGATTTATTAGACTTCTTAACAATAATGCTGAAATATTTATTTAATATTACAGAGTATTAAGGTCAAGGAATTACAAAATGTATCTTCGAAATTTCTTGAATGAATCAATTTAGTTAATGTCTTGTTCAATCAGACTAAGAATTTGGAGTTCTTCAATGCTGATCTATAAGGCCTTGTTAGCTCACCAGAACCGAAGGTTCAGGGTGAGTTATAAGTATCAAAGGGGGATACTCCAGTGTCAGTTGTCATGCCTCAACAATCATCTTCTTCTCTAAAACTGATGGGCAGATTTATCACAAATTTGGTCTGTAGTATCCTTGTAATAGTCACACTTAAAGTTGCTCATGTCATTTCAATTGGCCCCTTTTACGGGTTAACAGAGCCTAACATAGAAAAACCTTTAAACCTCTTCTACTACTAAATTAAATGATGGATGATCACCAACATTTGTCTGTAGCATTCTTAGGTAATTTGTATCAAATTTGCTCATTTTATTTTGATTGGCCCCTTTTAGGGGTCTATAGAGCTATAAATAGAAAAACCTTTAGACATCTTCTTCTACAGAACTAATAGATGGATGATCTCCAAACTTTATTTGTAGCATTCTAAAACTAAAAAAGAAATACCTTTAAACGTCTCCTTCTACAAAACTAAGTAATGCTGATCACCAAATTTTGTCTGTAGCATTCTTAGGTAGTGTTTTATCGAGTTTGCTCATATTAATTTGATTGGCCCCTTTTAGGGGCTGCTAAAGCTAAAAATAGAAAAACCTTTGAGCATCATCTTCTACTAAAATAATTGATGGAAGATCACAAAACTTTTTAGCATTCTTAGGTAGTGTTTTATGAAGTTTGGCCTCTTTTAGGGCCCGCTTAAGCTAAAAATAGAAAAACCTGTTAACATCATCTCCTTCTACAGAACTAAGTGATGGATGATCACCAAACTTTGTCTGTAGCATTCTTAGTTAGTCTTCTATCAAGTTAGCTCATAATAATTAGATTGGCCCCTTTAAGGGGCTGCTAAAACTAAAAGTAGAAAAACCTTTGAACATCATCTCCTACTGAACTAATTGATGGATGATCACCAAATTTTGTCTGTAGCATTCTTAGGTAGTGTTTTATCAAGTTTGCTCATTTTAAATTGATTGGCCTCTTTTAGGGGCTGCTAAAGCTAAAAATAGAAATACCTTTAAACGTATGCTTCTACAGAACTTATTGTTGGATGATCCCCAAACTTTGTCTGTAGCATTCCTAGGTAGTCTTTTATCTTTTACTGAAAAGCAATTGTTTCTGGTGAGCGACTCAGGGCCATCATGGCCCTTCTGTTTATATATAATTCAAAGAAATTTGTGTTAGTTTATGCCTTGGATGTTTAAGAAAGGCTGATTAAAAAAGGACATGAAATTGCATCATGAAAACAGAAACAGTTAACCAATATGAGCAATTCTTTGAAGACATGCATACAACAATTACTTGGTACTTATTCTATAAATTATGAATGAAACCTGGCACTTAAAATTAAATTGAGTGTTAATCTTTTATAAACACGACTTAGTAATGCATATTGCATGTATTCTGACATAATTGGAAAAAAAAAAAAGTTACCGATAATAAGATTAATAAGGATTTTATGGCAAATTTACTCAGCTATTTTCATACAGCCATTGTATATTGGTTTAATCATTCATTTTTGACTTTCAGCCAGACTCCAAAAACAACAAGTCACCATTGTACACACCTGGCGACTCAGCCAATGAGCTTCCTGGAAAGAAAACAGTGCCACACCCTAAATTTGCATTGTGTGATATGATTGGTCAATCACAGTTGCTGAGTCCTGACAATGAGTTAGCGGTCAAAGGTCATGGTGTTGCTGTGAAATTTTTAATGACTGGTTTACTGAATGGTATTAACTCCACAATCACTGTAGTTAGAATGTGTCCACCCCTGACAACTAAGAACTGGAACATGTACGAACCCCTGCTGGCAGTGGGGAGTCAACTGGGTAGTGTACAGATTGTAAATGTTGGTAATGGACAAATAGAAAGGGAATACAGTGTGCATACTAGCTCTGTCAAGTGAGTGGTTTGGGTATTTTAAGTATATTTGACACTTTTGAGTAAGAATTGCCATGTACTTGACAGCACCTGTGGGTTTTTTGTTTTTTTTTATCTCAAATATATAAATCTGTACATTTTTTTTCTGTGTTGACTTTCATGTCTTGTCAATATCTTTATTTTATGCATCATAATTTTTTACAGTTAAAATATCATATCTTTTTAATATTACTAAATTTTTACCTTTGAAATGCTTGTCATCATGATCAACTACATCTTATTACAACAAGGTGCTTAAGGGGAGCAGTGGCCAAGTGGTTAAGGTGTCTGCCTCTCAACCCAGGTATCATGAGTTTGAGCCATAATTGGGTCACAATCATGTTTCTTTATATGATACCAGTACTGGTTTCTTCCAGGAAGCGGACTTCAAAGTGATTAATAGAAGTAGCAAGACTTTGTTTAAATTTAAATGTTTAAACCAAGTTGAGCATTCAAGCATGTTGGTTCTGTGTTTGATAACAAGCATACATGAAGTTGCTATGTGACCGTCCCACATTTGTTATAACATTATATAATATGCTGATTTTGACTCATAATGAAAATAGAAAAGTTCCTGATATTCTTTTGCACTAAGAAATTAACTAATCTCTAATTCTCAGGGGCATAGAATGGGCCAGTCTGAAGAGTTTCATGTCATACTCGTATCTGAAACCAGGGGCGTCTAATTTAACAAAGAACGAAATACTTCTAGTGGATATCATATCTGGTACGTTGAATATGTTCTTTAAATTAAAATGAGCCGCGCCATGACAAAACCAACATAATGGGTTTGCAATCAGCATGGATCCAGACCAGCCTGCGCATCCGCGCAGTCTGATTAGGATCCATGCTGTTCACTATAACAAGTAGAGAAACTGATAGCGAACAGCATGGATCCTGATCAGACTGCTCATCCACGCAGGCTGGTCTGGATCCATGCTGGTCGCAAACCCATTATTACGCTTCCCGAAAAATTTCGGGGGAGCATATAGTCGTCGGGTTGTCCGTCAGTCCGTCCGTACGTACGTCCCCAATTCGTGTCCGGCCCATAACTTTGTTATTTGAAGTCGGATTTTAAAAATATTTCAAAGAAATGATCACCATATTGAGACGATGTGTTGCGCGCAACATTTGGGTCGCTACCTTGAAGGTCAAGGTCACAGCATGACCTTGCAGCAAAATCGTGTCCGGTCCATAACTTCATTATTTGAAGTCGGATTTTAAAATCATTTCACAGAAATGATCACCATATTGAGACGACGCACCGTTAGCAATATTTGGGTTGCTTCCTTGAAGGTCAAGGTCACAGCATGACCTTGCAGCAAAATCGTGTCCGGCCCATAACTTCATTATTTGAAGTCGGATTTTAAAACTATTTCACAGCAATGATCACCATATTGAATCAATGTGTAGCATGCAACATTTAGGTCGCTACCTTGAAGGTCAAGGTCACAGCATGACCTTGCAGCAAAATTGTGTCCGGACCATAACTTCGTTATTTGAAGTCGGATTTTACAACTATTTCACAGAAATGATCACCATATTGAGACAATGTGTCGTGCACAACAACATGGGTTGTTTTTACACTTTGAACTTTGTCTGTGACATAACTCTGACACTACAAGAGGTATACCTTCCTGTGTCCAAAACCTATTCAGGGAGCATCACCCGGTTCAACCGGCTCTTGTGTTGGTTTTGTCGTGATGCTGCTCAAATAATTTATATACTCCTTACAGCTTAGCATCAAATTTGTAATCTTGGGGCCACTTGTTCAATCTTTGGGCCACTTGTTCAATCTTTGGGCAAGTTGTGATTTCTCCATGACAATTAATATCGAATATTGATGGTCATTTGTTTTGCACAGCAGATTCAAAAATTATTTGGGATCGAAAGTCAGAAATTGGTACTTATCCAGGAAAGCTGATTAACTGGACTGACTGCCAAATTATGACCAAGATGTGCTAAAATTGTTGGAAAATGAAAAAAAAAACAAAAAAACAATTATACAACATTTGAAATTGTTTTACATTTAGTACAATAATATTGTAGAGAGTGATCCTTTTATATATTGGAAGTAAAAGAAAAAAATACAAATGTATGTGTAAATCAGTCAAGTAAGTAAGTAAATACTTTATTTAATGAGACAAGACAGTTGGGCAGGCCCCGTTTCCCTGTGAGCCTCGGCAATGTAATAAGTATAAGTATTAAGAGATATGACTTGTTTATGTTTGTAGGGAAGGCAACTCCAGTTAGGACCCAGAAGGACCAAGAGTCACCTATAGAGATGTTAAGAGTTTCACACTTGAAGTAAGTTCCCATTGTACCGTCTGGCCTGACATCACTTATATTTTGTCAAAATCTGTTGTTTTTATTTGTGATTTTTTTATTTATTGTAATGTATCTTAATTATTCTTCCAACAGTGGTAGTCTTTAAGGTAGTACTGACAGTGACTGAGTGAAATTGTCTTATAAATAAGACAATCTTCTGAAGTGATTTTAAAGGAGGGCTAATGAGGTCAAAAGCCTAAAAACTTTTTAAAAAATTCATACATAGATAAACTGGGGCACTTATATAAATGGAAAAATTTACAAAGGATAATAAATATACTCGAAATTAAATGGAAACTCAATTGTTAGTGCTGGTTTTACCTTGATTTGAGTAAAAGCATAAAAACTGTTTATTTTTGGACCACATTACAAATGAAAATGATGATTGTGGAAAAAAAGTGTGAGCTATTGATCTGAAATCTGCACACAAGTTATTGATCAAGATCTACATCAAATGGTTAAAAGATATTATATATCAAAATATATCCAATCCTGTCATGTCACAAAAACATGAATGGAGTTCCTTAAACATTTTGGTTCCCTCCTTCTATCAGTTTTGAAATACTTATGCTAACAGTTGACTTATCCATAAAAGTCTTTTATGCACTCCTAAAGCTTGTCAGTAGAAATGTTGACTATTATAGCAGAATTACATATCATTTACCTTTTCTGTTTTTCTTATAGGCAATATTTCATCTTAACATTCAAAGATAAACCTCTGGAATTATGGGACATGAAAACATTGACAATATTGAGAGAAATGTCCAAGTCTCTTCCACATGCCACAGCTCTGGTTCGTTGTATTTTTGATAAATAATGTAAACTCACTTAATTTCTTAAGTATGAAATTTCCTGGGTTTTTTTTTTTCACAAAAGACATTTTAGTGGGTTGTTGAATTAGTGGATTGTCTTGTTTTTGCAATAATAATGTAACACAAAATAATATTACAATAGAGGAAATGAAATTTTGTTGTTTACCCACAAAAATTAGTGTTCTATGAATGATTATTATTTTGCAGTATTCTCCAAGTAACATGATTTTAAATGTTGTTTCTAGGAATGGTCACCTAGTCTCATGATTGTTTGATTTCTAGGAATGTTAGCTGAGTCACATGATTGTTTGATTTCTAAGAATGGTCACCTAGTCACATGATTGTTTGATTTCTAGGAATGGTCACCTAGTCACATGATTGTTTGATTTCTAGGAATGGAAGCCTAGTCACATGATTGTTTGATTTCTAGGAATGAATCCGAGTCACATGATTGTTTGATTTCTAGGAATGATCACATAGTTCAATGTTTGTTTGGTGATAAGAATGTGACCTAGTCACATGATTGATGGTCACCTTGTCACATGATTTTTAATGCTATTTCTAGAAATGGTGACCTATTCACATGATTGTTTGATGTTATTTCTTGGAATGGTCACCTAGTCACATGATTCTCCTATGTTATTTATAGGAATGGTCACCTACTCACATGATTTTCTTATGTTATTTATAGGAATGGTCACCTAGTCACAGCTTGAAAGCAGTGAAGAAGAGGCTTCAGCTTCAACAAGAACAACAACAACAAATCCCTGTTACAGGAAGTGGAACAAAATTGACAGGGTCTAATTCAGAGGAAGTAAATGCTTCTGACAATATGTCAACATCATCCACAGAAACTGCTTCAAGGTTTGAATAATTTCTAGCTTAACCTTTAACCTGCAAGAACTGGAAGTGATTAGCCTTTACTATTAATATACAGTGTATAGCCAGATCAGCCTGTAGATCTATGTCTTTGTATTTTGATATGGAAATCCCTTAATTTTCATATGGACTGTCCCAAATTCAAACCTAGTTACTATAGTGATTTCTAAATTGATAAACCAACAAAATACAGACCAGGATAAATATTTTCGTATGTTAGCAGTATAAATTGATGGATTTAACATTCATTACAATATTCAATAAATTATGAAAGGCTCATTATGCCTCAGAAATGGTTTACTTTAAGGTGATAAACATATGTTAAGTAATTTTTAATAAGGGAATTATGGCATTTTAGATATAAGGTGCATTGATTGTAAAATAATTGGTCATAAAGGTAGCAAAATTTAAAATACTGAATCAGTATTACTATGCTAATTGCCAAAAAGCAATAGATGGTTCTGCTCTAAAGCCAATGGATAATTTTTCGCAAAATTGTGACAGGACAACAGACTGAAAATTCTTTTGAGAAATGAAAATAATAACATCTTTGGAGGCTTAATGGGCCTTTAAAACGTTTTTTGTTTTGTTTTTTCCCACAAGGCATATGAATTATTTTATGGCTTGTATTGTTACAGTGAACTGAAAGTGACAGGAAAATTAACAGTAAAGGAGCATTTTGTATACACAGATTCTGACGGAACTTTGTATCATTTTCTAGTGGAGGGCAATAGCTTTCAAGATGCTTCCAAAATACCACCAGAGGTATCTCATTCTCAAAATATATCATTTCGTTAACTTGTAAAGAAATATAATAACAAGGTTTGCATCATTAAAAATGTTGATTATTTCATGACCTTTCTTTAAATGTTACCAAATATTAAATTATTGGACACATTCCACTGTTTTGTCAATCTATTGTAGGACATTGCGACTGATGAACAAGGGCAAATCAGAATGCTCCCCACCTCTGAAAGAAGTATACCATATGAGCCGCGTCACGAAAAAACCATCGTAATGCCTTTGCTACCAGCATGGATCCAGACCAGCCTGCGCATCCGCGCAGTCTGATCGGGATCCATGCTGTTCGCTTACCATTCCTATTACAAGTAGAGAAACAGGCTGGTCTGGATCCATGCTGGTCGCTAACGCACTATGTTGGTTTTGTCGTGATGCGGCTCATATTATGTGATAAACATGCAAGGGGGAAACATACATGATGAATCATTGAATGATTTGTAAATTATTATACATGATATTGTCTATTTATAGAGTGGTATGGGAAGTGTCACATGGTTGGCATGGAAGGGAGATTATCTGGCGTTTGGTGACGCGGATGGACAACTCTGTTTGTGGGATTTGAAAGCTAAAACATCAAGGTTATTATAAAAATTGTATTTTGAGTTGTTAGTTAAACATTTTTTTTTTCAGCAATCAAAGCAATTTCTCATACAAAAATTTTTTGGGGTAAAAGAAAAATTGTAAAAAATCATGAAAAAAAGGATATTTTTTATTTTTTTTTTCCCCATTTATCCATTGTAATTTATGTCATTTCGTCAGTTTAAGCAAAATCCCTTTTGCCTGCGCTTAAAATCAATAAAATTTACCATTTATATTTTGCAACTTCATTAATCTGTAGCTTTTACTTATATTCTATTGTTTGCTTTTTAAAAGAAAACCCAAAAATTTTATAATTCAGTCCCCGGCTAGGCCAATTTCTTCATTTAAAAATTTACTCTGACACAAATTTAAGGGCATTTTTCCCCCACAGCAGACTGTTCAGAAGTCATTTGGGGATATTATTTAGTCACTTGTAGAGAATTTTGTAACTACATAAAAATTATCTCAGTAAGCGGGTTTTATTAGACTGAATCCCGGGTTGAGATGACCAAAAATGTTTTAAACTCAATGTACAAAACCAAGCAAAAAAAAACACCCCAAAAAGTCCTTTTCTGATTGCAAACATTCTTTTTTCAAAAAAATTTGATGATTTAAAATCGTGAATTTTTTCAGGGCCCAAATTTTCTACACATCGTTTGGATAAAGAAAAATCAATTTGCCCCCGGGCAGAGGGAATTTTTAAATTTTTCTTATCCTTACAATGAAGGTGTAGACATAGGGGAATTTAATAAAAGGGAAAAAGGTTGCTTATAAAATTCATCATGTTTTAAAATTTTAGCTTTGCGGAAAAGAGATTGGGCCCTTAGGGGAAAGGGCCAGCTTTCTACATAGTTTCAAATATTATTGACTGGTTAAAAAGTAAGAAAAAAAGTAGTCTACAGGCAGAGCCTAGTTTTAAAAACAAATCCCATTGTTTGTGCTAGAAAGGGATATTAATTTGGTTTTTAAAATTTTAGGACAAAAAATTTTTAGTAAATTAAACCTAAAGCAAAGTATTTATACTGTAATGTCATTTTATTTTTGGGAGGCCAAAACATTTTAGCAAAATCAACTTTCTTAACAAAATGGCAAGGTTAAATATTTGTGAATTTCTACTTTCAGTTTTATTTAATTTTGAAAAATTATAATCAGAAACTTACCAAAATGTTGGGTTGTTTTTTTTTTTCAGGAATATCTTAAATTTGTCAAAATAGTGAAATTTAATCCCTTGTAAAATTTTTTGGGTTTTATAAATAAAATATAAAAGATAAAAAAACATTGGAAAATTGTATTTTGCTAAGAAAAGGGTAGCAAAAACATACGATTTGTATACAATTTATTTCTAACGTTATTTGATAAAGGTCTTAAACGTTTGCCCCCACTTAACTTTTTTTTGGGCTAAGCAATCTTTTCCCCAAATTTTTTTCTAAACGCTGATCTATGTAAGAAATTCAAATTTTGTGTTTTTAAACTTTTGAACCTCAGTGGAGTCCCTTTAAGTCAAACTGTGTTTACAACATGAAAGAAGAACAATGAATCTGCAGTAAATAACACTTTTTAAGCGTTTATATTAAAATTTGCCCAGTTTATTAGCTCACCTGTCACAAAGTGACAGGGTGAGCTTTTGTGATCGCTTTTCGTCCGGCGTCCGTCTGGCGTCTGTCGTCCGTCCGTCCGTCGTCCGTAAACTTTTACTTTAAATGACATCTTCTCATAAACCATAAGGCCAATTTCATCCAAACTTCACAGGAATGTTCCTTTGGTGGTCACCTTTAAAAATTGTTCAAAGAATTTAATTCCATGCAGAACTCTGGTTGCCATGGCAACCGAAAGAAAAAACTTTAAATATCTTCTTTTAAAAAACCCTAAGAGCTAGAGCTTAGATATTTGGCATTAAACATCTTCTAGTGAGTGTCTACCAAGTTTGTTCAAATAAAAGCCATGGGGTCAAAATTGGCCCCGCCCCAGGGGGTCATTGATTTTCCCTATATGCATATAGTAAAAACTTAAAATATCTTCTTTTAAAGAACTCAAAGAGCTAGAGCTAAGATATTTAGCATCAAACATGTTCTAATAGGTGTCTACCAAGTTTGTTCAAATAAAAGCCCTGGGGTCAAAATTGGCCCCGCCCCGGGGGTCATTGATTTTCCTTATATATGTGTATAGCAAAAATTAAAAAAGTCTTCTTTGAAAAAATCCAAATAGCTAGAGTTTAGATATTAAGCATGAAACATCTTCTAGTGAGTGTCTACAAAGTTTGTTCAAATAAAAGACCTGGGGTCAAAATTGGCCCCGCCCCGGGGGTCATTGATTTTCCCTTATGTGTATAGCAAAAACTTAAAATCTTATTTGAAAAAACCCAATAGCTAGAGTTTAGATATTAAGCATGAAACATCTTCTAGTAAGTGTATACAAAAGTTGTTCAAATAAAAGCCCTGGGGTCAAAACTGGCCCCGCCCCAGGGGTGTCATTGTTTTTAACTATATGTGTATAGTAAAAACTTAAAAAAATCTTCTTTTAAAAAGCCCAATGAGCTAGAGCTTAGATGTTTAGCATGAAACATCTTCTTATGGGTGTCCACCAAGTTTGTTCAAATAAAAGCCCTGGGGTCAAAATGCCCTGCCCCAGGGGGGTCATTGATTTTCCCTATATGCATATAGTAAAAACTTAAAAAATCTTCTTTTAAAGAACTCAAAGAGCTAGAGCTAAGATATTTAGCATCAAACATGTTCTAATAGGTGTTTACCAAGTTTGTTCAAATAAAAGCCCTGGGGTCAAAATTGGCACCGCCCCGGGGGTCATCGGTTTTCCTTATATGTGTGTAGCAAAAATTAAAAGTCTTCTTTGAAAAACCCCAAATAGCATTAAGCATGGAACATCTTCTAGTGAGTGTCTACAAAGTTTGTTCAAATAAAAGCCCTGGGGTTAAAATTGGCCCCGCCCCGGGGGTCATTGATTTTGCTAATATGTGTATAGCAAAAACTTAAAATCTTCTTTGAAAAAACCCAAATAGCTAGAATTTAGATATTAAGCATGAAACATCTTCTAGTAAGTGTCTACAAAGTTTGTTCAAATAAAAGCCCTGGGGTCAAAACTGGCCCCGCCCCAGGGGTGTCATTGTTTTTAAGTATATGTGTATAGTAAAGACTTAAAAAAATCTTCTTTTAAAAAGCCCAATGAGCTAGAGCTTAGATGTTTAGCATGAAACGTCTTCTTATGGGTGTGGGGGGGGGGGGCTATATACAGGTGAGCGACCTCAGGGCCATCATGGCCCTCTTGTAATAATATCTAATGATTTTATATTTTATATAATTTTGTAGATCTACATTTCATTTTTTTAGCTCACCTGTCACAAAGTGACAGGGTGAGCTTTTGTTATCGCTTTTCGTCCGGCGTCCGTCCGTCCGTAAACTTTTGCTTTAAATGACATCTCCTCATAAACCACTGAGCCAATTTCATCCAAACTTCACAGGAATGTTCCTTTGGTGGTCACCTTTAAAAATTGTTCAAAGAATTTAATTCCATGCAGAACTCTGGTTGCCATGGCAACCGAAAGAAAAATCTTTAAATATCTTCTTTTAAACAACCCTAAGAGCTAGAGCTTAGATATTTGGCATGAAACATCTTCTAGTGAGTGTCTACCAAGTTTGTTCAAATAAAAGCCCTGGGGTCAAAATTGGCCCCGCCCCAGGGGGTCATTGATTTTCCCTATATGCATATAGTAAAAACTTAAAAAATCTTCTTTTAAAGAACCCAAAGAGCTAGAGTTAAGATATTTGGCATTAAACATCTTCTAGTGAGTGTCTACCAAGTTTGTTCAAATAAAAGCCCTGGGGTCAAAATTGGCCCCGCCCCAGGGGGTCATAGATTTTCCCTATATGCATATAGTAAAAACTTTAAAAATCTTCTTTTAAAGAACCCAAAGAGCTAGAGCTAAGATATTTGGCATTAAACATCTTCTAGTGAGTGTCTACAGAGTTTGTTCAAATAAAAGCCCTGGGGTCAAAATTGGCCCTGCCCCAGGGGGTCATTGATTTTCCCTATATGCATATAGTAAAAACTTAAAAAAATCTTCTTTTAAAGAACCCAAAAAGCTAGAGCTAAGATATTTGGCATTAAACATCTTCTAGTGAGTGTCTACCAAGTTTGTTCATATAAAAGCCCTTGGGTCAAAATTGGCCCCGCCCCAGGGGGTCATTGATTTTCCCTATATGCATATAGTAAAAACTTTAAAAAATCTTCTTTTAAAGAACCCAAAGAGCTAGAGCTAAGATATTTAGCATGAAACATGTTCTAATGGGTGTCTACCAAATTTATTCAAATAAAAGCCATGGGGTCAAAATTGGCCCCGCCCCGGGGGTCATTGATTTTCCTTATATGTGTATGGCAAAAACTTAAAAATCATCTTTGAAAAAACCCATATAGCTAGAGTTTAGATATTAAGCATGAAACATCTTCTAATCAGTGTCTACAAAGTTTGTTCAAATAAAAGCCCCAGGGTCAAAATTGGCCCTGCCCCGGGGGTCATTGATTTTCCTTTTTTGTGTATAGCAAAAACTTAAAAATCTTCTTTGAAAAAACCCATATAGCTAGAGTTTAGATATTAAGCATGAAACATCTTTTAGTAAATTTCTACAAAGTTTGTTCAAATAAAAGCCTGGGGGTCAAAACTGGCCCTGCCCCAGGGGTGTCATTGTTTTTAACTATATGTGTATAGTAAAAACTTAAAAAAATCTTCTTTTAAAAAACCCAATGAGCTAGAACTTAGATGTTTAGCATGAAACATCTTCTTATGGGTGTCTACCAAGTCTGTTCAAATAAACAAATAAAAGCCCTTGGGTAAAAATTGGCCCGGGGGGGGGCTATATACAGGTGAGCGACCTCAGGGCCATCATGGCCCTCTTGTTTTTTCTCATTTCAGAAGATGTACTGTCACCATATTTAATGCCACCAAAGGCTGCTTTCCTGATGAAACATTTACTGCAGCACCAGGCCTGGTCAGACAAGTACTTGCTAGAGTTACAGGGTCTAAGGGAAGAGGATAAAGACATTCAGAAGTGTGTTAACAAGAATCTCAAGCTGATAGATGTGTATGTTGTTCAGTTTTTATTTAGAGGCTTAATAAAATAATAGTCTGTAACAGGTCACCAAGCTTTCAAATTTAAGGTTTTATTGCAAGTTAAGGAAAGGAAAACTACTTTGGTAAAGTATTATTGAATTTGATTTTCATAGAAATAAAGAATAAGCTGGGTTTCCAAGAAGGAAAATTGCGGGCTTTCCATCATATTTTAATCCAAAAGATGTGAATTCATTTACTCTTGATTCATTCTTTAGCCTAAAACTTCTCAAAATTTGTGTTTCTTTTTTAAACATTAGTTGATTTCAATAAAGGGAACTATCAGACACGGGCAGGGCTGAGTGGATAAGGCCGTTGACTTCAAATCACTTGCCCCTTACTACTGTGGGTTCGAATTTCGCCAGGGTTTTTGAATTCTTTCATGTGCAGAAGCTATCCAGCTAGCTTAAATAATGTTGGTGGTTCTACTCAGGTGCTCGTTTATGCCTGTAATAATGCATTGAGGGGCACCTAAGGTCTTCCTCCACCAGTAATGCATGAAAATCGCCATAATAATGACCTTTACTGTGGTGCGGAGTTGAACCTAATCAAAAGCAATATTTTAAGTTTTGAAACTTGTCCAAAATGATTTTAGCTTACCTTTATATAGACAGATTGACCTGAAGAAATAAAGTTATATTAAAGTGAGTTCCACTTAATGATAAACTTCTCTTTATATAGAAAGAATAAGTTGAAGAAATAAAGTTAGATTATAAGGGTTCCTAAATGTACTGTGGAAAAACTTTATAGTCCAATGATTTTGAAATATTTCACATTGTTGGGTAGAATCTTTAAAAAGTACATAGCTTTAAAAAAGTACATAGCTTTAAAAAAAAAAAGTACATGGTTTTAAGAAAGTACATAGCTTTAAAAAAAAGTACATAGCTTCAAAAAAAGTACATAGCTTTAAACAAGTACATAGCTTTAAAAAAAGTACATAGCTTAAATAAATACAAGCTTTAAACAAGTACATAGCTTTAAACAAGTACATAGCTTTGAACAAGTACATAGCTTTAAAAAGGTACATAGCTTTAAAAAAGTACATAGCTTTAAAAAGTACTTTAAACAAGTACATAGCTTTGAAAAGTACAAAGCTTAAAAAAAGGTACATAGTTTCAAAAAAGTAAATAGCTTCAAACAAGTACATAGCTTTAAACAAGTACATAGCTTTAAAAAAAAGTACATAGCTTCAAAAAAAGTACATAGCTTTAAACAAGTACATAGCTTTAAACAGGTACATAACTTTAAACAAGTACATAACTTTAAACAAGTACATAGCTTTAAAAAAAAGTACATAGCTTTAAAAAAAGTACAAGCTCTAAACAAGTACATAGCTTTAAACAAGTACATAGCTTTAAACAAGTGCATAGCTGGATGAGGTACTATTTATATATTTGTTTCATTTATTACAGAGATCTGGCGTCCTACTTTGAAAATTGTAGGTTTGGAACAGCAGAAAGATGTCTGCTTACTGCAAGGTAAAATATCCTATACTTTTATATACCATATCTTTTACAACATTTGATAATAAAAATATACATTGCTGACATGTGTTGCATCTGAAGAATTTCCATATTTCATTGTAAGACAGTCATAGCTCAAATCTTACATCACAATATTTCTGTTTTTATCTCACCTGACATGGTGAGCTTTTGTGATCGCTTTTCTTCCGGCGTCCGTACATTGTCCGTCCATCCGTAAACTTTTAATTTAAACAACATCTCCTCATAAACCACTCAGCCAATTTCATCCAAACTTCACAGGAATTTTCCTTTGGTAGCTAACTTGAAAAATTGTTCAAAGAATTTAATTCCAAGCAGAACTCTGGTTGCCATGGCAACCAAAAGAAAAAACTTAAAATATCTTCTTTTAGAAAACAGCATTTTTCTCAAGTTTGATTTTCTTGAAATATTTTGGCTCTTTTGGAGGCATGCAGCTGTAATAGCTTTGTGACTCATGGTTTAATAGCTATGTTATTCTAAAGAGAGGAAACTTTGTTTCCTATTTTCAGGTTATTTGGAGATGAATCTGAAGTAAAGTTTTGGACAATAGCTCTCCACTATATGAGATCTGGAAAGCATCTTGCTATGAGTAAGGTATGAAAACAGACATGTTAAAGTCTAAATGTTTTAAGGGGAGTGGTGAACTAGTGGTTTATGGTGTCTGCCTCTCAACCCAGGGATCTTGGGTTCGAGCCCTACTCGGGTCACGACGATGTTTCTTTATATGACACCAGTACTGGTTGGTTACAGGAAGCAGACTCGAAAGTGATTAATATAATGTGCAAGAACTTGATTTGCAATCGTGCTTAAATAAATATGTTTAAACTTAAGGTAAAAATGTTGTTGCAAAAATTTGAATAATATCCTGTTTATGTGTAACCCATCAAGAAAAATTAGTCTAATGTATTTTATGTTTTATTAATTTATTTTCAAGTACAGTAAAATTGTAAATTTTATCAAGAGATTTTATCAAGGGATTAAATTTAGCAAATTTCTAAATTAAAGATTTTTTTTGCTAAAATACATGTAAGTGTCTACAATATGAATATGAATTATTTAGAAAATTGCAAATATCAACCTTGCCAAATAGTCAAAAATATTGATTTTGCGAAATTTTGGCCTTGCAAAAATATCTTATTTGACAGAAATTATTATTAAAATAGATTGATGAATGAATGAGAAATGAAATCCTTGATTTTGTAAATATAATTATTATCATGAGATTTCATATGGAATATGCTGTTTAAATTTAAATTCTCTAACTCTATATTAATATTACATTGTTATATTTTATTATTCAGAGTTCAAGCTGTGTTTTTGTCAAACAGAACAGTGGGGACCTGTACATTCCACCAAATGCTAGTCACAAAGAGATCAATGACCTTCTTGACCTTAGTATCCAAGGAGACGAAGGTCAGGGGTCAGCATGGCAGGATAAGCGGGACCAGCCATTAGAAAAATGTTTTGATTTTTTGTGTGATAATGATAGCTACAAGGTATGTACATGTAATACAATATTCATAAATTATTCTTTAAAACCATAGGGAGGTGTGTGTAGTCTATGTCAAATGAGCGTCCATCCACCCTGTAAGGCACAAAAGCAACTTTCGCTGTTTGTTACGAACCCTGGACTTGTCACCAGTCATGCCCTTAAAGTGATGATAATTTACCTCCATGCAATTTCCATGAAGTATTGAGTAGTAGGTCAGAAAAGTAGGTCACTGTACGGTAGTCAATGAGAACATTAATGTACAGTAACCTGAGACAACAATGAAAGGAGGTAGCTCTTAATAGGGCTGTTGGTGCCATGCAAAGGGCCTGTCTTACAAGTCCTCTGTCTGTGCTAGAGGCTTACGTACCCTAGCACACCATCCACGTTGTCTCTGCCTACATAGTAGGGCCACTCCCCTTTGCATTAGTCAGGACATCGGCAGCTGGTCGGCATGTACAAGTTCTGAACTTTGTTCAATTTTCGCCATCCCAAGTTCTTCAAATCTCCTGTTCATGCCCTGTGCCTTATCAGCGACGTGCATGCTCCAATGGAGAAGTGAGAAATTCCGAAGTACAATATATTTCAGTTTTTAAATGATTCCTAAGTACATGTACAATGTATTTTGGTCTTTCTTTGTTTTATGCCAAGAGATCTATTGAACTGGTCCCAGCATGTGTCAGTATAGACAGGTTTTTTACTGAGCATATAAATGACTTTTTTTCAGCGTTATCAACTAGACCGACTAGCACTTCATGACAGTAAAAGAGTGACATACGAGCATACGAAGAAATGTTCAGAGAATTATATGATGTTGGGAGAGACGGACAGATCTGTACAACTATTACTGGAGACGGAACCTGACAATGATAACTATTACATAGATTGTCTCAGGTACGAAGTTTTGTAATATTCACACTTGTGACCTTTTGTGTCTATTTTTTATGGGGGCATTTATATTTGCCCTTGTCAGTCTGCCCCGCTGTCATGCTGTCCCTCGTTTAGACTGGGAAAACATTTGGGACATCCATGCCCTGTGAAGACATTTGTAGTTTTACTTACAGGTTTTCTTCCTCCATCAGTAAAGCTGAAAATTTGCCGTATGACCTTAACAGTGTTGGTGTGATGTTAAACCCAACAAAAACAAAATAAAAACCAAAAAGTAAAGATGTTCAAAGGTGTATTCTTTTTTTCTCAATCAGTTACAGGTAATAATAGTGCATTATGTCTATAAGGCATTAAGACAATTCTGGTTTAAATTTTGCTTGTTCTTTTTCCCATTTATTAAATGATAGATTATTTAATACATGTTTTACAGCCATATATGTATAGTTTATTTGACATATATGTTTAGATCGTGTCTTGTGGCCAGTATCAGGTCATCAGGTGCATCACAAAGTACGATAAAACTTGTTGCCACCAATCTCATAGCTAGTGGGAAGCTTCTAGGTCAGTTTTAATGTTTCTAAGTTTTCAAATGACATAGAATAAATGACAACAGTTTCATTGAAAATCTTGTCATATAACTCTGGTGTAGGGAAATAGGGAAAAGTGTTGTTTTAATGACTCTAAAAACAGTAATTTGTGAACTAAGATCCTTAAATAGATGTTAATCTGAAATCCAGCAAATGAAGGTTTTTATAAGCAAATCCCAAGGTACAAACAAACTTACGTTTTAGTTTATCATGGCACTACCATTAGATAGATTGCATATCAGACCTATTTTCTATAATGTAACTTTTAAAAACTTGTTTGTGCAGACTGCATGCTGGAATTCTAAAGTGTTCTTAATCTGGATACATGTATGTCTATTGGCAAAAAAGCTGTCTCCATAAAAATGTTATGTTGGTTATCTCAGACAGTGGTGTCTTAAACACAAATGTGTGTGTCACTAAGTAACATTTTCTGTATTAAGAAGTGTACAGTTGTGTGTTTGATAGATAAAGAATGGATGCTGTAGATTTTATAAACATACGGGCATGAGGAACTGGCTGTATGGACTAAGGTAAATTTAACTTAGGATGCTTAAAAAAATTTTTTCTGAAATTCAGCAAATGTAGATTTTTAGGTACAAACAAACTTTTACTGTTTTAGTTTTACCGTGCACAACTATTCATAATAGATTGCATGTAGTCAAGTCTATTTTCAAGATGTAACTGTTAAAATTTATTTGTGCACCTTCATTGACTGGGAGTTTCTTAAAGTGTTCTTAATTCTGGAATAACTCTATTGGGAAAACAAAATGCTTGTCTCCAGTAACAAATGTTTTGTTTGTTATCTCAAGACAGTTGTTGGTCTTAAACACTATGTGTGTGTGTGTCACTATTATAACCATTATTCTTGTATTACAGAAGGTGTACAGTTGTTGTGTTTGATAGATAAAGGTATGGATGCCTGTAGATATTTACAAACATACGGGGCATGGGAACTGGCTGTATGGCTTGCTAAGGTAAATTTATTTTTTGTTTTGTATGGTTCAGAGATATAATTTATAAATGTTAGTGATAGTATGGTAATTTTAAGGTACATGTATGTAAATTTGTAGTCTTATAAAAAAAATGGCAGAGTAAGTCAGCAGAAAACACGTGGTTTAATTGATCAAATTTTCACTATGCTTATAAAGTCTTTTTGATAACATGATAATATTCTTTTACTGTTCTGTTTTTGAGTGAAACTAAAAAAAGGATTGGAGCACCACACTAAATACCGTATTCCAGTATATACGGGACAAGGCACTTGAATGATAAAATGCTAAAATCTTGCCTTTTCACCCAATGGAATGAACTTAAAAACGTCTAATACATCTTTTCACACAGATTTATGTATGATAATGTATGAAAAATGTTAGCAATAGTATGGTAATTTTAAGGTACATGTATGTAAATTTGTAGTCTTAAAAAAATTGGCTGAGTTAGTAAGCAGAAAACACGTGGTAGAATTGATCAACTTTTTACTATGCTTATAAAGTCTGTTTGATAACATGATAATATTCTTTTACTGTTCTGTTTTTTAGTCAACTTTGGTATATACAGAGTGTTGTGAAGTGATGAAAAGATGGGTGGAACATTTGAGTAGTATGCATGTTAACCAGAAGGTAAACTTAATATTTATCTCGTGTAAAGGTTTCAATTATATAAATATATCAAACTCATGAAAGATTGATCGTTTTAAAAAAAGTGTCTGCCTGTATAAGCAATAACTTTGTAGTGAAATTTTTCTTCCCTTCCCAGAAAACTAGATATTATAAAGTTCTCTGTCACAATTGATCTCGAACATGGAGTAAGATGGTCATTTGTCTCTCGCCACTGAAGCAGAAGTCATGTTGGATTAGTAGCCGGTCACTTGTGGAGAAATTGTTAATTACTGGTCAGTTATGAAGGAAAGCCACTGCCCATATATGACCAGTTAAAAACCAAACCAATATGATCTGTACTGTAATGTGTATTTTTACTTTGACCAGAATAAAAACCAAGCTATAAATGCGTATATTTCTATACAAAGACTGACCTATCAAATCGGAATGTAAATCACGTTTAGTATTGTTTACATTGTCGTAGTAAAATATGATATTTAGCTCGACTTTTCCTATAAAACTATCGCGCAATTGCTACTGTCATAGCATTGTTGCCATCAAAAATCTTGAACAATTAAAAAATTTTTTTTGTAAGATTGCCTTTATACTTTGACACAACAACCTTTTGAACAAGACCTTCAAGTAGACCAGACTGAACTTGACCTTGACTCATATATAAACTTGACTTGATGTATGTTATTATTTTGTTTCAGAGTACAGCTGTATTAGTGCTGTTATCACTGGGTTATTTTAATAAAGCTATAGAGATGTTATATGGTATGAGACAATTTAACCGAGCTGCGTGTTTTATAGAGGCTGCAATAGAGTTTAACCTCCTAGAGATAAATCCGGATAATGGTGCGTATTAATGTATCTTTGATGTGGATAAAATGAGCCGCGTCACAACAAAACCGACGTAATGGGTTTGCGACCAGCATGGATCCAGACCAGCCTGCGCATCCGCGCAGTCTGATCAGGATCCATGCTGTTCGCTTACAATCCCTATAACAAGTAGAGAAACTGATAGCGAACAGCATGGATCCTGATCAGACTGCGCGGATGCGCAGGCTGGTCTGGATCCATGCTGGTCGCAAACCCATTATGTTGGTTTTGTCGTGACGCGGCTCAAATTATACTATGTCAAGTTATTATCAACATTGAGACAAAATTGTTATAAATAGATTTTCCAGATTAATTGGTTTATTTACTTCCATTCATTTACTCCTCTCCACTGAGTGTTTCAGTCCCGCCAAAGATTCAGAATTAATTTATAGTGCGGAAACTGTTCAGTTAGCAAACAGAAATTAAGTGAATTAACACCCTTCAGTTTATAAAAGTGTATGCTTTGTTTCCTCTCCTTAGCCTGTGGAAACTGTTCACTTTTCAAACAGAATTTTCATGACTTTAAACTATTTATAAAATTGAATGCTTTTGTTTTCTCTCCTTTGCCTGCTGACAGCAACTGATTCTGCTCATGTGACAATATTTTGAAGTTTTCCCCTATAAATGATGAATGGTTTTGTCCAGTTTGATACATGGTCAAGTCCCTTTAAGATATTTAGCATGAAAAAGGGTTAAATGTTTGTTATTTTTTATGTTTGCAGGTGCTGTGATTGAGGCTGTTTTTCTAGAGTACGCTAGACAGCTGTCTAATCTAGGACATAAACAAGCAGCATTGTATTACTGTAAGAAAGCTGGAGAAAAAGGGGAACAGTTGATGAAAGAAGTGGAAATTCTCTTTACATGAAATTCGTCAGTGATTCGAGTACTGAAGTAAAAGATCTGTTCATTTGTGGTGCAAATATTTTGCAAGTTGTGCATTTATAGTTGATAAAAAATACGGTAAAAAAACATTAAAGCGGCCTAATTAAGCTTTTCTAAAGGTTAATTTTTTTTATTTATTATTTTTGCAAAGTTGTTTCAAATAAATGTCAAGTCAAAGGAATATAGATGGAAAATGAATTTTATAAATAAATAACTAAAATATATAAACACTAAGGAAACTCCTCAATATCTATAATCTGCTGAAGTCTGAAGTCTTTATTCAAATTAGTATCTGGGCAGTGGATTCATTTACCGATACTCTATTTTTAGAAACAAACATCACTTTCGCGTTAAAAATAGCTTTATGGATGCTGATATAAGGAAGGCTTCTAATGTTAGGATTCACTTTTCAAAGATAAAAATGCTGAATTACTTAGTTTGAAACTAAACAAAATTGTTTTTCCTGAAGAATATAAAAGATGAAGGCTGCTTTAATGTCAAAAATAACCAATTTAGTAAATGGAAGTAAATAATAGAAAGGAATGATTGTAATAAGTTCTTATATTTTTCATATTTTTCTCATTATCCCTTAGCCTACCAGCAACAACTGCTTCTTTCTCTGCAACCAATGTAGACCAAGATCACCCAGACTATCTGTGCTGTCTGACCATGGTCTGCACTGTTTGCTATTCATTCAGTACCTTTTTGGACATTTTTCCTAAAAATGATTTATGGTTTTGTCCAGATAGAAAGACGGACAAATCCATTTGGTAAAGGTTAACTGTATAGCAATATACAATACATAGTATTATTCACTCATTAGAACATGTATACAATAATTTTAAATGGATAAATGGCATGAATTAAATTCAATATACATGTATGTATTGATTAGAATAGATTAGATTTTATTGTCATTGCCCTCTGCTTTTTCCCTTACCTTGGGGTCTCTTATTGAACTTCACATAAACTTATAATGAACACATTTTTAATATTTTGTGTGTGAAACATTATGGCCAAGAGATACATGTAAGATATTTTGGCATGTAACATTGCCTTGTGGACCTCTACAAAAGTAGGACATGCCCCTGTGGCCAAAATTGGCTTGTGGTTACTTTAGTTTCCTTGACTTGAGTATAGAAAACTTCAAAAAATCCTCTTCTCAAAAAAACCCAGTGCCCAGAGCTTAGATGGTTTTGTATAAGTATAATATTGCTGTTCTATATAAAAGGTTTATACATGTGCATTATATCCTGGCTCTGATTACAGTTAACTATGTACTGGGGATAACTTTGATTACCTAGGCTTTAGTCTGCAATTAAGTTTTAAAAGTGAGTTAACTAGGGTCATAATGGCACTCTTGTTTATAATAGGGACCAATCTCGTGTAGAAGAGAGCTACATGTAGTATATCTAAGTTTTGTAGGTGATGATTATAAGTGAATTGTAATACATATACATATAATATTCCTTCAGAAGCCATTGATTTACAATTTTATTTGTACATTCCATATTTCTGTCTACGTGAACTATGTTGCTACTATTTAATTGTATGTTAAAGTTTTTCTTAAGATTTTCAATTTGTTTGAATGATTATTATATTATTTGTTTCATGTTATGATTTATAAGTGCAATAAATATTTAGAAGATGAGTCATTTATGTTATGCTTGATATTTTAAAATAGACTGTTTCAGTATTAAAAAATCACAATCACATCACTACCTCTTACTTTGTAATGGACAAATCCTTCTCATAGGACTTGTTGAGTTCAGCTTTGCCGGTGCTAGGGGGCGTGGACGAGTATTTTGAATTGACCACTGCCGTTCTTGAATAGGCTCGATCACGCCGAGCTTGCAACATTTTCAATATTATTGTGTTGAGTGAACATCAGTGTTTCCATTTTAATACTTCTGATTAAAAAAACGTAAGCAACAGTTATAGTTTTAAATCAGAGACATAGATAACATTGATATCTATGTCTCTGTTTAAATATGCAAGAAACATTTTACTACAATGTAGAAATCATCATCGGATGTATCCAACTTAACCAATTTGGTCGCAAACTGGTGACATTCCCAATCTAAACAAAAGCGCTTACTTACAGCAGATCTAATATGATTGGCGTTGATAAAGGTACCCTAACTATCACCCAAAGCAGGAGTGTACTCGTATATAAAATTCATTAATGGTACATGTATATAGTTTCATCATAAACCCACTCTACATCCCCCGTGAGTTCAAACACAAGTAATGAACAAATCGTATGAGGTTCATTTGTAAGCAATGTTTAAGATATTTGAAACGAATATTTAACTGTTTAATGATCGGTTTTGTTGTGATTAATGCTTCCGAAGGATCACTTTGTTTCCAGAATTTTGTACTTCACAACAGCAGGTGTCAAGTGCTGTGTGGCAGCCGTAAAAAGTTGCCCCGTACTTCACTTCAGTGTTGTTATATTTTCTGGTCCTTCGGGATCATTGATGCCAGCACTATAAAGTGTTGAGAATTGAGTACCGCTCAAGCCGGTGCTAGGGGGCGTGAGGGATGTTGCACTTATTCATTATCCCTCATGTACAGACTCAATCAAACCGAGTCTGCAATTCTTATGTTATTCTGTTGTGATTAATGCTTCCGAAGGATCACTTTGTTTCCGGAATTTTGTACTTCACAACAGCAGGTGTCAAGTGCTGTGTGGCAGCCGTAAAAAGTTGCCCCGTACTTCACTTCAGTGTTGTTATATTTTCTGGTCCTTCGGGATCATTGATGCCAGCACTATAAAGTGTTGAGAATTGAGTACCGCTCAAGCCGGTGCTAGGGGGCGTGAGGGATGTTGCACTTATTCATTATCCCTCATGTACAGACTCAATCAAACCGAGTCTGCAATTTTTATGTTATTTTGTTGTGATTAATGCTTCCGAAGGATCACTTTGTTTCCAGAATTTTGTACTTCACAACAGCAGGTGTCAAGTGCTGTGTGGCAGCCGTAAAAGTTGCCCCGTACTTCACTTCAGTGTTGTTATATTTTCTGGTCCTTCGGATCATTGATGCCAGCACTATAAAGTGTTGAGAATTGAGTACCGCTCAAGCCGGTGCTAGGGGGCGTGAGGGATGTTGCACTTATTCATTATCCCTCATGTACAGACTCAATCAAACCGAGTCTGCAATTCTTATGTTATTTTGTTGTGATTAATGCTTCCGAAGGATCACTTTGTTTCCAGAATTTTGTATGAGACATCACATCATGATTCAAAATTGGCTCTTTATGGAGGGCGATCGTTGCCAAAATTCCAGACATGTAATGTGTTCCTTTTGAAAACTACTTTTGAAAATGCGAACATGTATGTCTAGCATTTTTGATTGCATTCGTGCACAGCAAATGATATGCCACTTAATCCAATCTTTTAATTGAAGGCACCCGCTTTTAAATAACAAGTTTACATGTAAATCTTAACAACTGACCTAACACACATTTACAAGTTCGTATCTACCATTGCATATAATACATGTAAGCATGTTTACACACTTGTAGATATATATATGTACCTGAAAAACACAAATGAAATGTAAAACTCGAATGCAGAAAATATAATTTAATAAAACGTGTTTCCAGTCGTAGAACTACAACAGTACATTTACACAGTTACATGTTTAAAATGACAAAGGTAGATTCACAAAGTTAAACGATTTTAAGTCATGCATGACGCCCCGCCCCTCTCTGAGTACTTACGACCTTCTATCACGGAAATGTACGGACAGGTATAATACCCGTCGCCTCTCTCCTATTTCTCAATAAAGTGAAGAAAAACACGGCGTCCATTCTATTTTTTAGCTCGACTTTTCTATGAAAAGGGGAGCTATCCTACTCGCCCCGGCGTCGGCGTCGGCGTTAGCGTTGGCGTCACACCTTGGTTAAGTTTTTCGTACCACCCCACTTTATTTCAGAAGTATTACAAGTATGGCTTTGAAACTTACCATACTTGTTCACCATCATAACCTCCATCTACAGACAAGAGTACATAACTCTGTCAAGGTTTTTGACAGAATTATGGCCCTTTTTTGACTTAGAAAGTGTATTGAGCTTGGTTAAGTTTTTTGTACCACCTCACTTTATTTCAAAACCATTGGAGGTATTGCTTTGAAACTGACCATACTTGTTTACCATCACGACCTTCATCAACAGACAAGAGGACATAACTCTGTCAAGGTTTTTGACAGAATTATGCCCCTTTTTGACTTAGAAAATACATTGAATATGGGTAAAATCCACTTATTGCCTTAACCCTTTGAGATATTGCTTTGAAACTTTTAATGCTATTTCACATCATTACCCCCATCTGTACGCAAGAGAAGGTAACTCTGTCAAGGATTTGTTTTAAAAATTAAGGCCTTTTATCGACTTAGAATCTTGGTTAAGTTTTTAGTACCAGTCCACTTTTTGACTGAACTGTTTGAGATATTAATTTGAAAGTTGGAATACTTGTTTACAATCATGATTCCCAAACATGTCCAGGAGAAGGTAATTCTGTCAAAGATTTTATTTGAATTATGGCCCTTAACTGTCAATGTTTTGTATTATAGGCAAGCACTAAAAAACTTAAAAAATCTAAAAAAATTCATTCCTATCCATTGGCCATTGTTCACTTTAAAAATACAGAGATTCTTGTATTGCCTTTTACTGCAAAAACTTTTTTTATTGGCAAGCAATAAAAAAGTCGAGCGCGCTGTCTTACGGACAGCTCTTGTTTTTATTTCTATAAAAAGTCCAATATAATTTGTATCAAATGAAAGATTACTCCATAAGCTTTCTATGAGTGCCTCGGAAATAAAAATGAATTAAATAGATGTATTGATTTGTTTGTGTTTTTTTTTTAGTCTGAAAATAACACTCTCGAATTGGTAAGAAAAACACGGCGTTCCCTCCAAACTTTTTTTTTTATTTCGTAATATATTTTGATAATTTTGGATTGAAATAAAAGTGTGATTAATACGATTTACGATATATAATAATATTTCCTCAAAATAAAAAAGAATTAAATCAAAATGAATTAACTTTTCGTTAAAAAGTTTATCATGTTATTTTCTGTAAAATAGAGAAAATAAGAATCCCTAAAGAACGCTAAAAACGACAAAATTGAGAATGTTGCAGGCCGGTTTGATTGAGCCTGCTCATGGACGGTAATGGAAAGAGCAAGTTATCGTCCACGCCCCCTAGCACCGGCTTAAGCAAAATTCAACATGAACTGGTACAATTTTGAATTTTGAAACATCCGCAGATGTGTTAATATGGTGATTATCATGGAACCTTCAATGTGACACGTAAGTACCATACCATGAAAAACGGCATATGATCCCCAAGTAAAAAAAAAAACACACTCTGAAATTCAGTAAGAGAAACATGGCGCCCCCTACTTACTTTTTTATTTCTTGGTCAATTTTGATAATTTTAGAATATGATAAACAAGATCATCAAGGAAATGCGGCGTTGATAATTTTAGACTCAAGTAAAAAATTCTGGAAACAAAGTGATCCCTCGGAAGCATTAATCACAACAAAATTACATAAGAATTGCAGACTCGGTTTGATTGAGTCTGTACATGAGAGATAATAAATAAGTGCAACATCCCTCACGCCCTCTAGCACCGGATTGAGCGGAACTCAATTCTCAACACTTAATAGTGCTTAAGAATCCTTAATGAACTTTCTAGTGATGCCTTAAAAATGAAAATTAATTACGTAGAAGTATTAAAAATTTTGTTTCTAACTTATCGTTGTTTTTTTCTCTCTTAAATCCACACTCATATATTTGGAAAAAAATAACGTCTCTTTCTTTAGATACTTTATTCAAAAAGGAAAATAAATATTGAATGAAGTTAAGACCATAGGTTTTGAACAAGTATATTAAAAATCTGGAAACAAGGTGATCCCTTTGAAGCATTAATCACAAAAAAAATACATAAGAATTGCAGATTCGGTTTGATTGAGTCTGCACACGAGGGATAATGAACAAGTGCAACATGCCTCACGCCCCCTAGCACCGGCTTGAACGGTACTCAATTCTCAACACTTAATAGCGCTGGCATCAATGATCCCGAAAGACCAGAAAAATATAACAACACTGAAGTGAAGTACGGGGCAACTTTTTACAGCTGCCTCACGGCACTTGAATCCTGCTGTTGTGAAGTATAAAAATCTGGAAACAAAGTGATCCCTCGGAAGCATTAATCACTACAAAATTACATAAGAATTGCAGACTCGGTTTGATTGAGTCTGTACATGAGGGATAATGAACAAGTGCAAAAAGTTTTTATTCATACTGAAAATACCTTATTAAAGATTGTACATATGTGCTACGGATAAGTATTTTCTTGATTTCGGAAAGGAAATCTCGGTGGCCGCTTTAAAATATACTTGTATAGTTTTTGTTGAAAATGAAATTTGTGCTAATACATTTTTCAATGATACCAATAAGAATATTGGGTGGTATTTAACATTATTAATAAAATTAATCCCTTGAAGTTGGTCATTGTTTCCCATCGCCGATGTTTCTCAGGAATATATGATAAACAAGATCAACAAGGAAAGGCGGCGCTCAATGAACGCAACCCCACATGACCCAGCAACAAGAACAAGTGGCAAGAAGCCAAGGCGGAC